GGTGGCGCATGCTTGTAGTCCCAGCTACTCGGAGGCTGAGGCAGGAGGATCGCTTGAGCCCAGGAGTCTGAGGTTGCTGTGAGCTAGGCTGACGCCACGGCACTCACTCTAGCCTGGGCAACAAAGCGAGACTCTGTCTCAAACACACACACACACACACACACACACACACACACACACACACACTAGTAATTAGGAGAAGATGGTATTAGCAACAGGATGGACAAATACATCAATAAAAAGGAATGGAAATCTCTGAAATGGGACCATCTATTCATGGTGCATGAATGTGTAACAAGTGTCACCTACAGTGGTCAAAATGAGGGACATTTGAACACCTGGGGCAAGGACAGCTAGTTATCCATGGGGGATAAGGGATGTTCATATCAACTTCATGTACAATAATATAATGCAGATCTCACTGAGAATGTCAAAAGAGCACTCAGCAGAAAAAGTCAAGTGTTATGACTAAGTACAGTATTCACATATGCGCATATATATATATACAAAAAAAAAAACCAATAAGCTACAAAGGAAGAGATTGACAAATTCAGTTCTATTCAAATTAAGAAAAGTCCCCTCACCAGCACAGAATAAAGGGAATGAAAAGAGAAACCACAAACTGAGAGAGAGTATTTGCAGTACCTGCCAATGCAAAGGCACGAGGCCCAGAGTATACCAAGAAATGAGAAACATAAGAAAGCAGTACGCAGATAGATGAATTAAAGGTGAGGAAATGCTACCGATGATGCAATACCACATCAGAAAAGAATGCTCAAATTCAATGGCAACCAGTAAAAAGCAATATATAATCACAAGCAGATCCTGTTTCATACACAAGATGGACGGAAGTTAATTAGATGATTGCAAGTGCTGGTGATCACGTGGAAGGAATAAACACATCGTCACGAGGGGGCGGGGCGGTCAGTTCACACCCTCCACCAGCATTTCCTAGTAAAGTTAAACTTATTCATAATCTACAACCCCACAGTTTTTCTCTCAAGTGTAGAAACTTAGGATGCATTTTGCATTTGGAGACAAGCAAGTATGGCTGTTGTAGCATTGCTGAGTACATCAAAAAATCAACTGGAAATAAGCCAAGCCCCAGAAGGCCTGGGTGGATGAGCTAACTGGGCACCCACAGCCTTGGGTGCCAGCGTGTGTGCACAGGACCAAGGCAACAAAACCACGGAAAAGCCTTTGGGTGGGCAGGGGTGGTGATAATATTCTGGTTGAAATTTAAAGAGAGGCAAAATTAAACAAAACCCTGCTTGGTGACAAATAACAGATGGTAAAGTTAGAATCTGGACGGTGCTTACCCTGGAGACAGGAGAGAGATGAACAGATGTTAACAAATACCCAAGACCTGTTTGCTTACCTGAGTGGTGAGGCCACTGGTGTCCATATAATTAAACCTTAATGCAAAACCCAAACCAGCTGTTTAGAACCAGCTCGGAGGCAATCAGGAGTGCAACCTCAGAAGGGACAAAGTGCCCCCGAGCTCATCTGTTGCAAAGATCTGTAGCCTCTCTGGACACAAACAGCTCATGCTGTGGCTGTTCTGAGCATTTGAAGGTCCCCTGCCCAGGAAGGCGCTGGAGCAAGGCCCAACTGCACCTTCTTTGCCCTCCTAGCAGGCTCACCCGAGACGCAGCTGGAATGACTGAGTGCAGGCCACGCCTCCCTGCCCCAAGTGCCACTGACACCTGCTTCACTTTAACACATTGACTGCTATGCACACACAATCAGAAACTTTTCTTTGGGGCCACAGTGTGTTTTATTATGAAAACAGAATAAAAACTTTTGAGTGTAATTTAAAGGTAAATGTAAATAGAAAAACGAATTCTATTGACTTCTATTCATTAAATCCACGTTTTTAGAATTAAATTATCAATATTAATTGTAAAAATAAGAACATCAACAAGATTTTATATATGCCTCACATGGCCCCGGGGGCAAAACAGAGGGAGTTAAATACAACTCTCGTGACAATCAATGTGTTAAGTGACACCAAGACCCCGCTCCCAGTGTCCGAGACAGGAGAATCATGACTTTCATCTCATGCTCAAATAAGAAAAGGAAATTCAAAGGCATTTTTTATAGCATTAAGTCACTGGAAAATGCTTACCCTTATCAGAAAACATACACTGCATAATTACTACCCTTACGACAACAAACTGTGTGTAAGTTACTCTCACTTGCACACTCCTCGGTTGTACAGGTCACATTTTGGAGAATTTGCATTAGTGACGCCCAGACGAACAGAAATGGAACAGGGACACACACTGTCACACAATCTGCACCTTGTGTGGAAGGGTAACTACGGTTTTTAGGAACATTTCACTCTATCTCTTCTTCTCCTTTTAGGTACGTAACCACGGACGTGCCTTTCCCCGCGGTTGTAGTGGGACAGGGAACATTCCCGAGTGATCCCCCAGAGAAACAGGAGGCAAGCACTCAGGGCGAAGGGCAGACCCGAGAAACGTCCTGTTCCCGCTGAGCAGAAGGACCAAGGCCAGCAGAAGACGTTACCTCACCTTTGCTCCAACCTGCCGCCCCAGTAAAGGAATCCTCAGGGCTGCGCTTGACACACCCGACAGTCCCCAGGTGTGGGACCAGGTGGGACCAGGGCAGGCCGGCCCGCGAACCGCCCCAAAACACACTCGCCTCGGCCCCGCGCACTCACCGCGTCCCGCCCGCTCCTGGGCTCTCCCGGGTGAGCTCCGCGGCCAGTGCAGGTGAGCGCGCCAGGGTCGGGGACACCTGGGCACGTTGGGATCCGGCATGCGGGAAAGCAGCGACGTCCCGTACTCTGGGCCTGATTGGACAGAGCGCGTGCCTATGACGCCTATGATTGGACAGTTCTCCAGTTCCCGCCCTCACGGCGCTCTGATTGGGCAGTGCTTCTGGCACTCTTTTGCCACCGCCCCCTTGGCGAAGCCTTTGATTGGACAGTGCTTCAGACCTAACTAAGCAGTCCCGGGTTCCCCCTCCCCCAGGGCCTTGATTGGACAGTTGTCAGTTCCTGGGGCCTCTGATTGGGTAGCTTTTCCGGGCCTAACCCAGAATCCCTGATTGGACGATAACTTCCGACTCCGCCCCGCCCCCTGCAGTCCGAATGACAGGCGCGTCGCGAACACCAGTGGCTGACCCCGCAGGCGGGGGGACCGTCACATCTGGGGAAACTCGGTCCGGCCAGAGGCGGACACCGGCCTCTCCTCGCAGTTGGCGGCCCCTCCCGGACGCGCGCGGGAACTCCAGACTGTGCCTTTTGCTTGACACACTTTAGATGAGGCAATCGCCACACTCCCTGGATGCCGAGTGCTGGCGACAACTTGGAACCCCGCAGCCCTAGTCTACTCAGAACAACCAAAAGATAGATGTGTTTATCAAAATTTCCAGGCGCACTGGAAAGAAATTTTAGATCACTTTTTGTATGTGTCCCTAGAGAATTGTGATATGTACAAAGCTATGCTATCTCTAAGGCAACTGAATCGCCACTTTTGCTGATTTAAAAAATAAATAAATAAAAGCTTATATAAATTTGGGATGAATCCATGAACACAATAGAAACAGAGAAATTTCAGCATTTGAAAGTGACTGGCAAAATGCTGGTATCTACATGAGATTTTACCCACGTGAAAGGAAAGACCTATTCCCCAGTGGGGAGTTTAATAGAGGTATCAAGAAAAATAAACTTGTTTCTGGTGTTTCACACCAAGATAGGCCGTCACCATCAATGAACCATTTGTTCTAGTTTCTAATAAGAGGGCAGTGTGTCTTGTGCTAAGATGGTAGAATAATGGCCACAGGCTTCTTTCCCAGTGGTGCTTAAATTAGGTCAGGGAGACACCACCACCACATGAGCACATAGAAAATGATGAGGGTGTGAATTCGAAGAAGAGATTCCTGGGTTTCTTTTCTCTTTTTCATTTTTTGTTTGTTTTTGAGACAGACTCTCACTCTGTTGCCCTGGATAGAGTGCAGTGGCGTCATCACAGCTGACTGCAACCTCAGATTCCTGGGCTCAAGTGATCCTCCTGCCTCAGCCTCCCAAGTAGCTGGAAGTACAGGCATTCGCCAGAAAACCCAGCCAATTTTGTTCTATTTTTAGTAGAGACAGGCTCTCCTTGCTCAGGCTGGTCTGGAACTCCTGACATCAAGCAATCCTCCCGCCATGCATGGCCTCCCAGAGTGCTGGGATTACAGGCATGAGCCACTGCGCCCGTCCTAGAGATTCCTAATAGGGCCATTAATAAAAGTGAAGATACTGCTTCTGGGGCCTCTTCTCAAAAGGCAGTGTGAAGACTGACCTTAAGACTGAGACCGAGGGGTAAAAGTGGAGGTGCCAGGGAGAGGGAGGAGAGATGGATTCTTACATCGAAACCTCATCGATTTTGTAATCGACGGCTGGCATCTGAGGGTGAGACAGGGTGGTGGCGGATCTATCCAGACCTCTGACAGCAGACTTTCCAAGCAGGGAGTAGGGGTGCCACATACATGGAGTAACAGGGCCTGCAGCTGTCCCTGAGGTCCCCAAAGCCCCAGGCCCACCCCTGGCCCTGCAGGACCCCAGGTCCTCGTGGCCTGTCCAGTTCCATCCTGGCCCCATCCTGCCCTGGACAAGGGGTCGCTCCGTGGGAAAACCGAGTCTGGAATTCCGTGCACACCTGCGTCCCCGCGTTCAGGAGGAGGACGCAGGGGTAGACGCCCTGCTGTAAGCCCCGGGGCCTGACCAAGCTCTGCCTAAAGTGGAAAGTCCTCTGACCTCTGTCCCGGCCTGGGGAGGAAGCGGAGTGGGTAAGGGCAGCGCCCGAGACCCCGTATTTCCGCCCGGCTTAGCCGAGGGACGCCCGTCTGTCACTCGGCGGAACACTGCACAATCAGAGGTGTCTAAGCCTGGAGCACTGCCCAATCAGCGTTCAGGGGGCGGGGAGGGCCTGGACCATTGTCCAATCAGGCTCGGGGGGCGGGCCGTCGCTGTCCCCGAGCGGCGGCGCAGGCGTCCTGGTGCCCGGCGCGCTCCCGTCACGGGCCGCCGAGCCGCCCCGCAGCGCCAGGAGCCGCGGGACATGGTGAGTCGCGGAGCCGGGGAGGCCGCGCGAGGGCCAGACCCCCGGGGAGGCTCCGGGACCCGGTCAGGCGGCCGCGGGGTGGTCCGGGCCGCCCGGCTTCTCGAGGCCTCCAGGGCGGGGGAAGCCGGTCCCCCGAGCCCGACCCCGAAACTGGTCGTCCGGCCTCCGCCCGGGACCCCGGACCCTGCCCGCTCCTCACGGGCCGCCCCCCGCGCTCCCGGGCCCGCGGGTCCCGCACGTTGTGCGTGCGCAGCCGGCCGACGTCTCTCTCCGGGGCTTTGGTCCCTGCGTCCCTCCGCCCGGCCGGAGCCCCAGTCCCGCGGGGACATTCCCGGTCTCTCCCCCGGGGCCTTCCCGGGACGGGCATCCCGGAGCCGCGGCGGGTCGGGCCCGGGCTGGTGTCCTCTCAGCTGCCCGCGCTCGGGGACCCGCCGGGCTGCCCCGCTGGACAGCGCGGGGCTGGTGGGGGTCCCCGGGGCTGGAGGAATCGCGAGGACCCCCCCCATGTGAACAGCCCACCGCTGGGGCACGCGGAGACGTGCTCCCCTAAGTCCAGTGTCCTTCTTGGGGACACGGTGGTTAGTCTCCTCTCACCTGCAAGGTGCTGGTAGTAAGGGGGGAAGACGGGTGACTCCGGGCCCTGGGCTCTCACACAAGGAGGAAACGGTAACCAAGACAGGAGAGGACCCCACACCTGGGAGGGAGTGTAAGGATTCGAAAAGCAAAGTGCGCGTCAGACACACGGCGGGGACACGATCAGTTGGGAGGTTGTGACTTTGTGTCCTGGGACTCTTGTAACAAATGGCCACTAACTGGGTGGCTAGAAAGAACAGAAATTTACTCTTTCACGGTTCTCTAGGGGCTAACTTTCTCAGATCTGGCCTTTTCTTTTGAGTGCCAACCAATGGGATTCCAGGATTTGGCCTTGAGAACGCTACTGGGGGAGAGAATCTCGGAAAAAAATAGAAAAAATCTCCCTTCCAGTGTGGCTGCAGAAAAAATGAATACGACTTTACAAAACGAGCGAGGGAGATAGGTTGGTGAATTACAAAGATTCACAAAAACATCAGTTACTCTCCTGTGCAGAGTCTCCGGAGAATTTGGGATTTTCTGTGTCCTGTTATCTTGACTTCAGAAATTAATGCTGAATCCTAAGAGATGAGACTTGTAACACCAGACGTGTGCAAATGTGATTGTTTAGGAATAATTGGGTAGAATGGAAATAATTACTACCTGGCATCGTGCGTCCAAGGCCCACTCCCACTTTAGGGTCGGTGCTGTGGCTCTTGCCTTCATCTGGAAGAATCTTTTCTCAACCTACAAGTCTGGTCCTAGTCTTTCCTTTTCCACGAAGCTTACTCTAAACACCATAATTAATTCTGCACATTTCATTCCCGCTGTCTTCATCCTCTGGAGTTTGCTGTCTTCCCTCCTCACCACAGCACGTATCCCCTCCACAGAAAACACATGATTTCATTTTGTTTTGACTGTCTGACTTACCAAGTTTCCTAGACCATAAGGCAGGGGTCCTGAAACTTTTTAAACAGGGGGCCAGTTCACTGTCCCTCAGACCGTTGGAGAGTGCATGCACATTCCACACATGCGCACTGTGGGCCCGGGAGGAGTCGGCTGCTAAGCAGGACAGGCAGCAGTGGCAAAAACACCCAGCGTGTCAGATAAATGTCCTAGGTGGCAGGCTGCTGTTTGAGGACCCCTGCCATAAGGCTTTAAAAGAGGAGAGCTTTTTACTTCTCATCGGCTTACTGCATGCAAGTGTTTGGCACATACTGTGCACTCAAGTTATTTTTGATGAAACGGAGGGACCCTGGTGCCCTGGGATTGAGTTTCTCAAAAAGCTAGGAATAGAATCAGCACTTTGATAAAGGATGAGCTGGGATTACTTTGAATCTGTAGATGGATTCAAAAGGTGGATTTATAGCCTTACAATATGTAGCTTTCCAATCCATGAACTTGGTATGTCTCTGTATTAATTTTGATCTTCCTTAATTTCTCCCAGTAATGTTTGACTGTTTTCTTCATAAATGTTTTACAAAACCTTTGTTAGACTTCTGACTCTGCATTTAATATCGATGTCGATTGAAGTGGTATCTTTTAAAATACTATTAATAATACATAGAAGTGGATTTTTGAGCATTGTTCCTTTAACCAGTGTCCTCATTAAGTGCAAAATAGATTTTAATTATTCATCTGTAAGTTCTCCAAATCTACATGCAAAATATCTGCAGATTTTCAACACTTCTGTTCATTTTACCTTTCATTTCTTTTAGTTTCTTTAGTTTACTCACTAGGACCTCAGAATTCAGGGTCCTGAAGTAGCATAAACACACTGTGCATCCGTCCTTGTCTTCTTGACAAGAAACTGTTTACTATTTCAAAATTTTCATTTAACATTGCAGTAGATGTTTTTATGCACCCTCTTCCCCAACTAGCCACATTCCTTCTACTTGTAATGTATTAAATTTTGATATCTATTAATGATAGTGACATAACATTCATATTTTTGGGTCCAAGGACATGAATTAAGGTTTTTCATTAATGTGGTAAAATGTAATTTCTGAATCAATTTCTAAACACTTTTGCATTCCAGGAATAAAATGAGCTTTGTTGTGCTTTTTAAATGTTTTACTTTATTTTTTTACCCAAGAACATAGATTCAAGTTGTGCTGAATATACACTCCTGGTTGTGCTTTATTATGCATATTATTCATTATTCCATTTAGGGTTCTAATGTCTTTTATAGACTCTTTTTTTCTTTTTGAGACAGAGTCTCACTCTGTTGCCCGGGCTAGAGTGCCATGACGTCAGCCTAGCTCACAGCAACCTCAAACTCAAGTGATCCTCCTGCCCCAGCCTCCTGAGTAGCTGGGACTACAGGAATGTGGCATCATGCCCGGCTAATTTTTTCTATATATTTTTAGTTGGCCAATTTTTCTATTTTTTTTTTTTTTTTGAGACAGAGTCTCATTTTGTTGCCCAGGCTAGAGTGAGTGCCGTGGCATCAGCCTAGCTCAAAACAACCTCAATTTCCTGGGCTCAAGCGATCCTACTGCTTCAGCCTCCCGAGTAGCTGGAACTACAGGCATGCAACACCATGCCCAGCTAATTTTTTGTATATATATTTTTTTTAGTTGGTCAATTAATTTCTATTTTTAGTAGAGATGGGGTCTCAGGCTGGTTTTGAACTCCTGACCTCAAGCAATCTGCCCACCTCGGGCTCCCAGAATGCTAGGATTACAGGCATGAGCCACTACACCCAGCCCAATTTTTCTATTTTTAGTAGTGACAGGGTCTCACTTTTGCTCGGGCTGGTTTCCATCTGACCTTGAGCGATCCTCCTGCCTTGGCCTCCCAGAGTGCGAGGGTTACATGCGTGAGCCACTGCGCCTGGCCCAGACTTTTGCATTTATGTTTGTTAATGATATTAGATTTAATTTTTAAAAGTTATACTGTTAAGCTCTCGGCTTGTCTCTAAAAAAGTAATTACTTCCTACATTTATAATTATCAATCTCTTTAATAATTAGTAAAACTGGCCTATAAAACAATTTGAGATTTTTGTTTCCTGTGTGTGAATATTTTAAAACACCCTTTTATTTTATTTTCAACTGCGGAATACTATGGCAGTCCTCATATTTTAACATTTTAGATTTTATTTATTTATTTATTGATTGATTGATTAAGACAGAGTCTCACTTTGTTGCCCAGGCTAGAGTGAGTGCCGTGGTGTCAGCCTAGCTCACAGCAACCTCAAACTCCTGGGTTCAAGCAATCCTGCTGCCTCAGCCTCCCAAGTAGCTGGGACTACAGGCATGTGCCACTATGCCCAGCTAATTTTTTTTTCTATATATATTAGTTGGCCAATTAATTTTCTTTCTATTTATAGTAGAGACGGGGTCTCACTCTTGCTCAGGCTGGTTTCAAACTCCTGACCATGAGCAATCCGCCCGCCTCGGCCTCCCAGAGTGCTAGGATTACAGGCGTGAGCCACTGCGCCTGGCCATTTTAGATAACATTTAGATCATTCCTCTCCTGTCACGTTTAATCCTTGCAACATCCTAATTAGCATACTTTTCGTTTGTAACTTTATTAGTTCCTGTTTTGTTTTTCTTGAAGAACGTTGCCAAAGGTGTACCGATTTGATCTGTTTTCAAAAGATATATATATTTATTTAGCCTATTTTTATTTCATTAACTTTGCCCTCCACTTTTGTTTCTACACTTTTTTCCTTTATGGTACTGTTCATTTTCCAAAATCTTGAGTTCACTTTTAGCCCGTCTATACTGCTCCATCCTTCCTTTTGGGAGTCAATATTTCTGCCCTTGGCTGGCATGAGGGACAATAGCCATCTCCTTTGATTCTGTTGCCTCTCAGTTAGGACTTGGTGAAGCTGAGAAACACTTGAGACCTTTCCTGGGATTTTTGTGTAATTATGACACTAATTTTTAGAGTTGAAAAATGCAGTGACATTAAAAAATAAAAAACAAATAACAAATGCAAGTATCCATTTCCAGTGTGACCTCAGCTGGTTGTTTTACTGTTTTTGTTTGACTCTGCGCTAGATCTGTTTGCTCATATGTTTCTCACTCTAAGGCCCTCACTGTCCTGTGCTTTATTTATAGTGCTCACCCTATTACCTATATTATATCTGATTTACTGCCCTTCCCCTAAGAATTTGAGAATCATATGGTTCAGAAATTTTTCCTTTTAAGTGCTGTATCTCTATAGCATATGCATATGGTAGGAACTGTCTAAATGTCAACTAAATTGGTTTTAACAAATGAATGAGCCAGAGAGTTATAGGCATGGAGGAACAACTTGCTTGGGACACAGGGCTCCAGTAGAAGGAGCCCAGGGATGTCTGAAGAGAAGTTTCATTTTTTGAGTCTCTACAGGGTCTAGATCTGCACTGTCCAGGACAGCAGCCACTGGCCACATGTGACTGTTGAGCTCTTAAAATACAGCTAGTCAAAACTGGCCTGGGTTCTATGTGCAAAACACATACCAGACGTTTAGGACTTAGTGTGATGAAAAGAATATAAACTATCTCAAGAATTATTGGGTACATGTTGAAATGACATTTGTATTTAATAGATAAATAAAATATACCATTAAATATAAGGTTAGTATAAATATAAATAAGTTAATTCCAATACTGCTTTTGATAATATGGATTATATATATGATCTGCATTGTATTCTTATTTGACGAGATTTCTGTAGATTAGGGATTGGCAAATTATGATCCACAGGCCAATTCTACCCTGCCACCTGTTTATATCAATAAAGTTTTATTGACACACAGCCACATCCATTCCTCTACATGTTGTCTGTGGCTGCTTTTGTGCCACAGAGTTGAGCAGTAGCAACAGAGACCACATGACTGAGAAACCCTAAACAATGCACTGTCCATTTACAAAGTTTGCTGACTTCTGCCCTAGATCATCTGTAATTCATGTTGAGTAGTAGCCATAATAATACCATGAGGTATGTGCAGAAATGCAGCTATTGGGAGTTAAGCTTCAAAGGCAAGCAGACCTGCAACATTCTAATTGGGTAACACTGAGCATGTTAATAATTCACTGTGTCTTAAGTTTCTTCTGCTATATATTGATTATAATGATATGTATACTTGGAAGATTTATGAGGCTAAATGAATAAGCTAATGTGTGGGAATTTATGTGCAAAACATCTCACACAGGGGTGCTCAATAGCACATTTTATTACTATTGTTGTGATGGAGAATGTTATGGGCTTCATGGCTTTCAAATGTCACCTGCCGCATAGCAGTGGAGGAGCTGGTTGAATTTTATCTGTAGAAAGTTATTGTTAGAGAACTTTTGGATTCCAGTGTACCAAGAGTAATTAAGGATGCCCAGGCATCTGACCTCACTCACTGACCTCACAAGCAGAGTGTCCCATTCTGGAGCATTCTAGTTCTACTGGCTGTTTATTGTGCAGGCAAACTGCAGCACCTGTGTTGCAGTGTGGCAGCCTGTACTGGCACCTCTGCATGTAGAAGCCAAGAGGATGATGTGTTTTCTAAGAGACCAGGTTTTCTGGGGGTCCTGCTATCAGATTCCATGCTCAGGGGTGGGGGAGTGATGCTTGTCTGCATGCCAAGGGGGTTGGCAATGGTTACTGTGTGTAGAGCTCCCAGGAGCTTGGTTCATAAGTCGTACCTCCAAATGTTCAGACAGTGGGAGTGGATGTTCTTCTGGAAGAACATCCTGATCCCGTTATGAATTTCTAATCTTAGCAAATTCACAGCCAAACTTCTCTGGACTTCAATTAACTTACTTCTACACTAGGACTTATGATATTTTCTTCCCAGGCATGAAGGAGCACTCTTTTCTGGAGGAGACAGGGCTGTTCTGGGATCTGATGGCCACAGTCTGTGTGCTGAGGGAGCTGTCACCTGTAACTGGTGGCTTGCAGCACCCAGGCCCCTGAATGTGGGATTGTGGTAGGTCTGAACCTTTGTGCTTCCTTTCTCTTGTTGGAGCCTAACTCATCAATACACTGCCTGTCTCCTAGAAGAGGAGGTGGAGAAAGGAGAGTCGCTGCTTTATAGAAAAACAAGTCACAAATACGTAAATATTCATGCTCCTCATAAAGAATATTCTTATTCTACCAGATAGGTCTGTCCGTTTATAAGGATTGGGGTTCTTCAAGGAAATGTATCTATCTCAGGGCCTTTGTTGAAGGTTGGGCATAATCAGGCCTCTGGGAATCAAGTTGTTGGTGGAGGGGTCAGGAAGGAAATGCTCCCAGACCCTCGAAGTGTTTTCATTCATTAAAACCTCATTCAGCCGGGCGCGGTGGCTCACGCCTGTAATCCTAGCACTCTGGGAGGCCGAGGCGGGCGGATTGCTCAAGGTCAGGAGTTCGAAACCAGCCTGAGCGAGACCCTGTCTCTACCAGAAATAGAAAGAAATTAATTGACCAACTAAAAATATATATACAAAAAATTAGCCGGGCATGGTGGCGCATGCCTGTAGTCCCAGCTACTCGGGAGGCTGAGACAATAGGATCGCTGAGCCCAGGAGATTGAGGTTGCTGTGAGCCAGGCTGACACCACGGCACTCACTCTAGCCTGGGCAACAAAGTGAGACTCTGTCTCAAAAAAAAAAAAAAAAACAAACAAACAAACCTCATTCAGCCTGACCCTTGTTGCCTGTCACGGTGAGAGCTATAGTGGGCAAATGAAGAAGATGAAATCATTTTTGTCATAAGGAACTGGTGTTTTAAAAGAAATAACTTTCATTTGCACAGCATTTCCTTCATTTCGCCAGTGTATTATGGTCTTTTCTGGCCCCTTCACATGGGAAGAAGTGTGGAAGAGTGGAAGTAGTCACAGTGAGACCGCAGAGATAAGTTCATCAGAGAGGATATTAAATATCTGAGGCAGGATGGGCTCACTGCAGAAGAGGGTGCTGAAATAGGTGGGGAATAACTGGGTGATGGAGCCTTCGAGTAGATGGGAGGCCACAGAACCACGCGTGAACTTGCTGAGTTGATTCTCAGTCCTCCAGTGCGGGCTGCCTCACCCTCACGCACACATGGTAGAGAACGGTTTCTCACTGAACCTGAATTTGTTCCATGTTTCAGGACTCAGTGGTCTTTGAGGATGTGGCTGTGGACTTCACCCCAGAGGAATGGGCTTTGTTGGATTCTGCCCAGAGGAACCTCTACAGAGATGTGATGCTGGAAACCTTCAGGAACCTGGCCTCAGTAGGTAAGGGTGACGACATTCCTTCACTTAGTCATTTAGAGTACAAGTATTCCCTGGCTATTGAGCTTGTCCCCAAACTGGGGCTGAACAGTGGGAATTTACTGCTAACTAAGACAGATGTGGTCACATTACTTATGGAACGCATCGTCTAAAGTTTTCTCATGGACTACTACTCCATAAGCCTACTTTTCCTCTTAAATGCTTTTGGCCTCCTGAAGGGTTATAACTCTGTGCCTTAGAGGAACAGTCCTTGTTGAGGAACAGTACATTTGGAAATATTAATGAACAAAATAAATGAATCTTCTTACTATGGAAGGTGAATTTGGCAGATTCCTTGGCTTCATTGTTTGATTTTCATCTGTCCTCTCAAAATGTCCTTATTGCAAGGGAAAGACCATTTATATTTCCTTGTCTAAAGTTAAGATCTGGGCAGATGGATTTGTTCATTTCCTTTCCAGTTACTTTCCTGACAACAAGGCATATGCATTCTGATTTGTCTCAATGTTCTTGGAAGTATTTTTAGTATATTGTCTACCATTTTGTCTTCTAGTTCTTATTACTGTTAAATTCCTGAAACAGCTAAAACTCCTCAAAGTCTTTTTTGCTAGAAAGTACATTCTTCCTTATAAAATTTATTTTTGGATCACTGTTTGAAAAGGAATTTACATGTTCCCTACTTATTTTCTTGCCTTCATCCTACCAGTTCTTTCCAAAGAAAAAAAAATTTGTTACCATTTGTTTTATATTATAACACACAACTTATTGGGTAAAATCCTCTGCACTATATATTTGGGAAAGAAATATGAAGTGGACCGAATATACTATGATTCATAAAAAAATGATTTCTGGTTCTTCATTTTAGGAGAAAGCTGGAAAGGTTATGACATTGAAGAACAGCATAAGAACCAGGGGACACATTTGAGGTGAGTGACATTTGCATAAGAGAAAGTAATGTCTCAGGAGAGAGTATTGGCATGCCAATTTGTGTGTGTGTGTGTGTGTGTGTGTGTGTGTGTGTGTATGCATATGCATGTTGATATGGGGGATATGAAGCATTCACAGAAAATTTTCATCAGTTTTATAAAAGTGATGCAGATGTGGATTGAGACATAGTTTACTTGTAAATAATTATTAAGAAGAAAAAAACAGTTTAAGAAAAAACTGAAAATGATACCTGTGGTTGAGCCCTCTGTCAGAGCATTCAGCTCATATCACTTTGAAACAATTCCAAGAGGTCAAAAGACACACACATTCACTGGAAATGGTGAATGTAATCATATTAATCATTAATAGCCATCATCAAATCATTAACAAAAAATTGATAATATGTTTCCTCTTTTCAACAGAAGTCATGTGGTGGAGATACCCCCAGAAAATAATGAAAGAAATCTATGTGGAGAAACCTTCCACCAGATTCCAAAACTTAATGTGCATAAGAGACTTTCTACTGGAGTAAAATCCCACAAAAACAATAAGTTTGAAAAAGCCATCAGAAATACTTCATCCCTAAAGAGTCACATAGCATCATCTCAACATGGACAAAAACCCTATCAATGTAAGGAGTGTGGGAGAACTTTTATTTGTTACTCATCCTTTAGGGCACATGTAAGAGCTCATACTGAAGAGAAACCCTATAAATGTAAAGAATGTGGAAAAGCCTTTATATACTTCTCTAAACTTAGAGTACACATAAGAACGCACACTGGAGAGAAACCTTATGAATGTGAAAAGTGTGGTAAAACCTTCAGATCTCCTTCAAACCTTTGGACACATAGAGAAACTCATACTGTTGAGAAACCTTATTCTTGTAAAGAATGTGAGAAATCCTTCTCTTCTCCCTCTTCCCTTAGAAAACACATGAAAGTTCACAGTGCAGAGAAAGCCTATGAATGTAAGGAATGTGGGAAAGCCTTTCTTCATTCTTTTTACCTGATCATACATGCAAGAATGCACACTGGAGAGAAAGCATACAAATGTGTGGAATGTGGGAAGGCCTACAGTTGGCCCTCAGACCTTAGGATTCACATGAGAACACACTCTGGAGAAAAGCCTTATGAATGTAAACAATGTGGAAAATCCTTCAGTTCTCCTTCATCCTTTAAGGGACACGTGAGAACTCACACTGGAGAGAAACCATATGCATGTAATGAATGTGGGAAAGCCTTCAGTAGTCCTTCATACTTTAGAACACATGTGAGAATTCACACTGGAGAGAAACCCTATACATGTAAACAATGTGGGAAGGCCTTCAGTTGGTCGTCATCTTTTCGAGGACATTTGAGAACTCACAGTAGAGAGAAACCCTATGAATGTAAAGAGTGTACAAAAACCTTCAGTAGACTCTCATCCTTACAAAGACATGTAAGAATTCACAATGAAGAGAAACCATCAAAATATAAGCAATGTGGAAAGGCCTTTTGTAGTCCCCATCCTTAAAAAAACACATAAGAACTTATACAGGAGGGAAAACCCTATGTTAGTAAGTAACATGGGAAAGCTTTCATGAAGATTACTTAATGTACACAACAAATTTCATATGGTTAGAAAATTTTTGTAAAGGTCTTAAATATAGTGTTGGCTTTATTAGTGCCTTATGCTTAAAGTAGACCTCTAGCACATTATTTCGGGTTCTGTTTGAGAAAAACACTTAGGAGATAAGTATTCCTTTAAGTGTTATTTTACAAGGGCTGCTATAACAAATTGCTGCTATATTGGTGGCTTAATGACACAAATTTATTCTCTTATAATTCTAGAGGCTAGAAGTCTGAAATCAAGGTGTCATTAAGGTTGGTTTGTTTTGGACATCCCCAGGGAGACTCTGATCTCTCCAAGCTTCTGGTGGCTACCAGCAATGCTTGGTGTTCTTTAGCTTGTAGATGCATCATTCCAATCTCTCACTCCATCTTCCCATATCCTTCTCCTCTAAGAGTTTTATCCCCTTCTCTTATAAGGCATTGGATTTAGGGTCCACCCTAATCCATCATGATCTTGAGAACCTTAATTATTACATCTGCAAAGACCCTTTTTCCAAATAAGGTTGCATTCACAGGTTCTTGGGAGATATATCTTTTGGGGGTACCATTTTATTACATATCTGGTCAGTCAAATTATATAACTTTTGGTATATATATATAGTTTTAATGATGAATTACTTATGCAAAAATTGTCCGATTTGCAATATAAAGTTTTTCAGACTCATCTTTTGGAAGTGTGTTGCTAATATGCAACTGTTGGGATTTTAGATATATTTATTTCTAAGTTTCATTAGCTATTATGACATGTAGCTATTATGTTAATGATACTTTATCATTAGGACTTTATTTATGGCCTAACAGCACAGATACTGGAATTTATATATCTGATACTTATCCTATCTTTCCTCCTTTCTAACACATTATTTGTGAGGGTTAGTCTTTAGTATGTACATTCAGTTTCTTCTAGTTACTAGGCACAATATTTCATTGTCCTGGGAAGAACTGCTAAACACCAGGCTGTTGAATGAGGACACCCTTATCTGACTAATTTTCTTCTTTTGCTGTTTTCTGTTTATCCTAGCTCTTGGCTGAGAATTGGATACCAAGTTTTTTGTTGTTGTTTTTTTTGAGACAGAGTCTCCCTTTGTTGCTCAGGCTAGAGTGAGTGCCATGGCATCAGCCTAGCTCACAGCAACCTCAAACTCCTGGGCTCAAACGATCCTACTGCCTCAGCCTCCCAAGTAGCTGGGACTACAGGCATGCGCCACCATGCCCGGCTACTTTTTTCGATATATATTAGTTGGCCAATTAATTTCTTTCTATTTATAGTAGAGACGGGGTCTCACTCTTGCTCAGGCTGGTTTCGAACTCCTGACCTAGAGCAATCCGCCCACCTCGGCCTCCCAGAGAGCTAGGATTACATTACAGGTGTGAGCCACCACGCCCGGCCTGGACACCAAGTTTTATATTAAAAAGATAGAACTTGTTGCTTAAAGATGATAAAATCTAGAGTAGATGTATGGTGCAAGATTACCCTTTCAACATGGGTACATGTTCTACATTTCACAGAATCTCTTCCTTATATTGTTGCAAATTAAGAGTTGAATACTACATCATACTTAGTTTTTGGAGCTACCATACAGAGAGATAAACATATAAGGTGCATAAGGGCTTGACAGACACCCATTTCCAGCTGTTTTTCCTGCTTTCTGGGCCCACCAATAAATGATGTCCACAAACCAAACACCATACCCCCATTGTTGGTGACTTCCATAGACATCTCCAGTAACTCTCCTGACATAGATCTACTTCCATGCTCATCCTTCTACAATGCCCACACAAGCCACTTGTTTGTACTTTTGTGGCTGATGACTACCACTGTTGCTCTGACTCCCCTTTCTCTAGTTCTTACCAAATTTGTTCTAGGTCTAATTTGTGTATTGAATATCTTGTTACATGTGACTAGTGGCTCTGTGTTCTTGGCTCCACCCTGAAAGTTACACTTGTGGCATGTGGCATCAGAAAACACACAGGACTTTGTTTCCTGATTGCAATGTTGAGTGGTTGCATTTACCCTGTACTTTTTGTTTCTGGACAATTCCATATGAGTAATAGACACCTTGTAGATATATGAAGCAGATTGTAGGAGTTTTCTGTTCTACAGAGAGGAATGCAATCTCTAAACAATAAACTCAGTATGTGTTAAGTAATTACCATTTTTAAATTTGGAAAATAATCTACATTTTTGTATGCCAAACACAAGGTTCTGTATATATTTCTTAGAAAATTCCTAGAACTGTTTTTATATTTGCTCTGTACTTAAATTTTTAACTTAATTTTTCATGTACTGAGAAAGGATATGTCAAAGTATTCTGATACAATTATGAATTGTCAAATCAATTTTATAATTTTATGTTTTTAAACATGTTAGGTCTGAGGCCATAGTGTTAAACAATTTTGAACTTTTTATGTGATTTTAAAAATTCTTTTAATGTTAAACAATTTTCTCATTAAAATGACTTCTTCATAAGAAGAAAAGATTAAATATTGGTTGTGTCAATGCCCACCAGACAAAAACCATGAGAAACACACTTGCACTTGAACAAAGTTAGGTTTGTTGGCTTATTTCAGTGGACTGACTGCATAGCATGGGGAACAATGGGACATCTCATAAACTGCATGTTACATTGGATTTTCTTTAGGTGACTTGGGGTGGCTTCAAGGAAGGAGGCTTTGCACTAGGTTGGATGTTGTCAGGAAGTTTATATTAAAGTTAATTCAGAAGGCTCTGGTTGCTGAAACCCTGTACTTTCCATAGAAAGCACTGGTCTTTTTTTTTTTTTTGAGACAGAGTCTCACTTTGTTGTCCAGGCTAGAGTGAGTGCCGTGGCGTCAGCCTAGCTCACAGCAACCTCAAACTCCTGGGCTCAAGCGATCCTCCTGCCTCAGCCTCCCGAGTGGCTGGGACTACAGGCATGCGCCACCATGCCCGGCTAATTTTTTTATATATATATCAGTTGGCCAATTAATTTCTTTTCTATTTATAGTAGAGACAGGGTCTCGCTCTTGCTCAGGCTGGTTTTGAACTCCTGACCTTGAGCAATCCGCCCGACTCGGCCTCCCAAGAGCAAGGATTACAGGCGTGAGCCACAGCGCCCGGCCAAAAGCACTGGTCTTTGACCAGATAGATTATCCTAACAATATGACTTACGGTGAATGTTTGTTTTTGTATGCCTGAGGCCACAGACACGGCTGTATGTGTTTGATCTGAGACAAGCTGGAGACTACGTAGCTAATGTCCGTCATCTCGATGCTGCATGGCTACATGACTGACCTCCAATAAAATCCCCGGACACCTAGCCTCAGATGAGCTTCTCTGACTGGCAACACTTCACAAGTTGTCACACATCATTGCCTCTCTTGACTCCACTGAGAGGACAACTGAAAGCCTCTGCCTGACTTCTCCTAAACTTCACCTTAATTCCCTTTCCCTTTGCTGACTGTAATCTTTGTCCTTTCACCATAATCATGACTATAACAGCGCTCCTGAATCCCGTCAAACCTACTGAATCATTGAGCCTGAGGATGCACTTTGGGAACTTCTGATACAGGAAGTGAATGTAATTTTATGATTGGAAATTTTAATAGTTCTCATCTAGAAGCCAGGAAGCATGGACTTGAGCTAAAATTGATTTGTGAAGAAGCAGAAGCCAGTTTTATTAGCTAGAATAGGAGAATATTTCATCATTTTGTGGTTTGCAAAATTCCTTTTATTCTGTGTAATGACACGATTACAGAGTGCTAGTGAACCGGGTTCACTGTGTGCTAGTTACCACTAGTCTGAGTGCAGTGAGGACACCCATGCACGTAGTAAGTTACATGGAGCAGGTTTATGACACACGATTCTTTGTGAACTGATTCCTCAAGGCTCAGAAGGCTCTCTGGAGCAGATGGAGCCTCAACTACACATGCCTCACTTGCATGACACTTAAGCACCCCAAAAGGTGGCTGGTCCCAGGATATATACCCCAGGGGAAACATGACATGCTGAGCTAAAGCATTAAATAACATTCTGTGTTTTGGGGGGAGGTTTGGGAGGGAATGGAATAGAACTCAAGTTTTCCAGCCAGCTCCACCCTTATCTCAGGATGTTGCATTCCCATACACTCTGGTCATTTTTTTTTTTTTTTTTTTTTTTTTCTTCATTTTATGTCTTTTCCCTAGGCTAGAGTGAGTGCCGTGGCGTCAGCCTAGCTCACAGCAACCTCAAACTCCTGGGCTCAAGCGATCCTCCTGCCTCAGCCTCCCGAGTAGCTGGGACTACAGGCACAAGCCACCATGCCCGGCTGATCTTTTATATATATATATTAGTTGGCCAATTAATTTCTTTCTATTTTTATGGTAGAGACGGGGTCTCGCTCAGGCTGGTTTTGAACTCCTGACCTTGAGCAATCCGCCCGCCTCGGCCTCCCAGAGTGCTAGGATTACAGGCGTGAGCCACCGCGCCCGGCCTGGTCATTTTTTTTTGAGACAGAGTCTCACTCTGTTGCCCGAGCTAGAGTGCTATGGCATCAGCCTAGCTCACAGCAACCTCAAACTCCTGGGCTCAAGCGATCCTTCTGCCTCAGCTTCCTGAGTAGCTGGGACTACAGGCATATGCCACCATGCCCGGCTAATTTTTTCTATATATATATATTTTTTTAGTTGTCCAGATAATTTCTATTTTTAGTAAAGAGAGGGTCTCACTATAGCTCAGGCTGGTCTTGAACTCCTGACCTTGAGCGATCCTCCCGCCTCGGCCTCTCAGAGTGCTAGGACTACAGGGATGAGCCACCACATCTGGCCCATTCTGGTCATTTTTGAGAACTACAAGTGAGAGGAGGGAGAACTAACTGTCCTGTGATCTTGTTTATGCTTCGTTCCACCATGACCACCCACTGGCCCTGTGTGATGTTGGTGTCATGAAAAATTGTTTCTGTCCAACAGAACACCATGGCTAAGGAGTGAACACCAAGCCAGGTTCTCAGGGGCTGATTTTTCTACATAAACAGTTGAATATTGCTTACTATATATCTGCCATTGTTTTAATTGTTTCCCATAAATTCAGTTAACATACATAAATAACGTGAACCCTCCAAAACTATAATGTAGACACTTTTATCATTTCCCTTCGTGAGTTAACTGAGGCCTGCTGATTACAAAGTTAGCAAGTGATGTAAGACAGGATCAGGATTCAAGACAAGTCCTTCTAGCTCAAAGACCATGCTCCTTACTAATGTTTGAGCCTCTCTCATGCTTGCACCAGGCATTGCAAGCTCAAAACAAACAAAAAAATTAGTCTCAAAATTAATTAAGGCATGGTAGACTGTCAGCTTAGAAGCAATAAATAAGTCCTTGCAGTTTCCGGTCCATGTATTTTTGTGGGAAAAGAGATGTTTTGAAAAAGTAAAGACTTTAATATAGAAAGTTGAGATTTGGTATAAAAGTTATTGGAGGGAAAAAAAAATCCACACCAAAGGAGATAATAGGGAAAGCAGGAGGATGTGTAGTCTGTATTTTTTCTATGGATGGTAGGGGCATCAGAAAATGAGCATGTATTCATTAACTTATATTTCCATCATCTAGTGTGTCTTAAGGAAATACTGTTACAAGGACTCCAGGGGGTTTGTAAATACTGTGGAGTGATACACAGTCCATGATTTTCTACATCCTCGTGGCTCAGGTTTCTTTTTGCAATGATCAAAAGCTTTAGGTCACGGGATACGTATTTATGAATGGGAAAAAGTTTCTGTCACCAGAGTCCTGTCATTTATTAGGGCCACTGAGTGTGGCTGCTTATATTAATAGTTCTTTTAAATGAACTGTAACTTTTATTAAATAGGTAGCATTATCCTTTTGCTACTAGTGTATCCTGACAGAATTTATAGCTTAGAAGACCATAGATAGAGCTGCCCCAGTGTTAGAAAGGTATAAGGTTATCTATAGTTTTACTCCAGCATGTGGCCTTTCTTATAAGCAGAATGACATCTATGTAAGCTCTTGGTGATTTGGCAGATGCAAGGGGAAGAGCTGGGGAGGGTGAGGGGAATTCTAGAAATAATGAAGGTGAGTTGAAGACACAGTGTGTCATTTTGAGTACCATCCAATTTAGTATCAAAGAAAGTATACTGGGCATTCTCAAACGTGGAAAATTTCAATGCCATTTTATAGGAGATGGAAGATTTTTGTTTTAGTGATACATAAAGCCCAAAATGGAGCACAATTTGCTCTTCAGATTATTTCCATATGCTTAGTCTTCCAGTACATGTTAGAGAAAAGAAGAAATGTAATATCTTTTTGCTTAAACAGCAAAGGAAGCCCAATCTGTGTCCATTCTCCCAATGCTAACATTTTTATCACACGGCAGATATATCACTGTTATTCAACAATTACTATTTCATTTGATATTACCCCTCTCCATCTCTACCACCTTCCAAAGAAGAAAGTTAAGCACAAGGAGCATAGTCTTGCATAAGCTCATGGAACTTATAATAAGAATAAAAGAATACAATGGCGGTTTTTAAGACTTACTTCATTCCATGATATGTACTGGGCATTGTAAAAACCTAAAACTCAGAATCTGAGATGTCAGAAAAAAAAATAAAAAATAAAAAAAAAACTCAGAACATCACTGAAAGTATAATTAATTACTCTGTCTTACAGAAATGAAATAAAATATTATAAATCTGACTCAAATGCTACAATGACTGCATTTATATGGCACTCAGCTTTTGGAAAAAGGTAAGGTTTAGGAATCTATAAAAGATAATGATCTAAGGATGGGGGAGAGCTTGACTACAAATTGGGCAGCTCTAGAGTAATGATGTGGGGTAGTGTACTAGTCTGTGTCGTGACTGTTGGTACCACTGTATGCACTTGAGGAAACTCACAGAAATTCACTAAAGAGACTGTTACCATTATGCATGTTCATAAATAATCAAAAACGCACACACACCTGTGAACTAAGAGGAAACTTAAACTCACCTGAACCTTGACTTTTAGGTAAGCAAAGCCAATTGTTCCCATCGCCTTAGCAATCTTACAGAGGATGGCGGATGTGAGAAAGAAGACATCTGGAGTTATCAGTCCTTTCTTGGGACCCGGCATGAAATTAGGACACGCGCCCTGGGGCCACATCTCTCACCTCAGACACATACCTGGAGGGCAGTGAGAGCTTCCTGGGGTCTGAGTTCTGGAAATGCAGTAGGTCTGAAATGTAAAGTTCCCTTTTGAGGATCCTCCTGGGGGGAATTCCCATGCTTAGCCGTCTGCCTCAAGTCTTCCCAGAACTTGTGTCGAGGCCCTTTCAATCCTAAAACGCCTATTCCACATCCAATTCTTTCTGCTCGGAATCTTCCTTAGGGATCCATAGCTGTTCTTGTCTTAAGGGTATTTCCCTGGAGCCCCGGGAAAGAAATCTCAGCAACGTGGTGAAGAGAAGTAGAAAATGGGGGTAACCCAGCCTCTGGACACAGGCACCTTCACCACTGGGACACAGCAACTCCGCGCTTCCGCCCCATCTCTCCAGGACTCCATCTTGCAGTCTCCACACACGCCACTTCCGGGACAGGTTGCTCCGCCCACAGGCGCTGGGGCACGCACGGGCACACGGGCCCCTGGTTTGCAGTCACCTGACTCAGTCCTGCACTGTGGGGAGTCTTGGGGCCACACATGCGCAGTCCACACCTACGGCCCCTGCCCATCCTCAGGCATCATGCAGGGGGCCTGATGAGCAGTTTACTTCCTGCCCCCTGCTCGCCCACTGCTGGAGACACTACGGAAGGGACCCCCAAGCCCTTTGGGAAATGCAGTTAAAAAGAAAGACAGCCCTTAGACGCTAAAAATCCCTGCCCTCAGATTGCTCCCAGCATGCAGTGCAGCCCGTCCTCCAAGGCAGATGTGTCCCAGGGGCTGCTGGGAGTTCCGACCTTCGCCGTGTGCGCAGGTGCAATGGGGAAAGCTGGTTTTCCCGAAGGCCCAGAAGGGGAGGTGTTTACCACAATGGTACTTTGTGTATCTAAACATAACCAGGCATAGAAAAGGTACAGCTTTCCAAAGAGTCTGTGTATTCCTGTTGCTCCCCATCTTCACCAACACTTGGCATTTTCCTGGGTGTTGATTTTTCTTATTTTAGCCTTTATTATGGTGGGGATGTAGTGGTATCTCATTGTGGTTCTAATTTACATTTCCCTTATTACAACGTTGAGCATAATTGAAGTATGTATTAGCAATGTGGATAGCTTCCTTTGTGAACGATTCATCAAATCTGTTTGTATTTTACTTTTCTGCTGAACTGCCTTGCTGCATTAATTTACAGGAGCTCATATTCTAGATGCAGGTCCTTTGTAATATATGTATTGCAAGTTCCTTCTTACGTGATATATGCTGTCTTTTCACTCTCCTCATTGTGCCTTTAGTTGAGTAGTTCTTAATATCAGTGATTTCTAATTTTTATGGTTGGTGTGTTTGTGTTTCAAGAAATATTTGCCTATTCCAATTCATGAAAATGATCTGTTTTCTTTTTAAGTTGTTTAATTTTTACATTTATCTTCAGTCCATCTGGAAAAAATTTTTATGTATAGCCTGATTTAGAGATCTAGATACATTTTATTTTTGTGTAAAGTTCCTGACTAAGGGGCAGAGGCAAGAATATGACTCAGTGTTCATGGCTAGGAATGATCATGGACAAATGGGGAGAAGTCACCAGGTTGGTTAAGTTTATATCACATAGAGAAGACCCTACGAGTCCCTATGGTTGGAGGGTGGTGCCAAAATGGGGAAAATAAGGCAGACAGCACTAAATGTCAGCCTACACTGCCAGCCATTTGACAGGATTTCATAGGTAAAGGACTTTGCAAAGATTCCTGGGCTCCATGTGTGTGTAGAGGGAGTGGGCTGCATCAGTTATAGCTTTGGCCTGAGCAGCATCCTAAAGATTACACACGCAGTAACCACAGTCATTGGCTTCACTTGCTAGAGCCGGCTTAACCTTCTATTAAATTCTGAAACATGCTCTCTGCTGCCTCCTAGTGATAACTAATGAAAATGCACACTCCCTAAAACAACTAATTGATGAAGGGCTGTTTACAAGACTATAAAGGTCACCAACTTGTAGTTTTTAGAGCACAGTCAAAAGAATACACTTGTCCTTTGTGACTTGGGTTTAATTTTCTTTCAGACTAGATAAAACCAAGATTTACTGATGGTGCACTAAAAATGTAATCACCCAGACTTTGGCACTTGAGACACACAGGTAGACACATTCTTAGAAATAATGGTCTCAGAGAAACTAACAGATTTCCTTGTGATACAAACACAGCACAGACTCTCTGCACATCTCCCCTGGCTTATTTTTCTCCTTAAGAGTTGCCACCATATACCATATATTTTACTTATGTATCTATTTTTCCCTTGTAGAATTTCAGCTCCAAGAGGGCAGGAGTATTTCCTCTGTTATGATCACATATAAATCAACAGCATATAGCACAAAGCCTATTATACATATGGAAATAAATGCTTTTTGGAATACTGGTACATGTATACACACACGCCTTGTGTGGGTACTCTTTCCATTTATCCAAACTCACAGGCTCACATCCACTTGATCTGTAGAAAGTGAAGGGTTGTCTCCCCACATTCGAAATAGCAACAGTGTCTGTTGGCCTCTGAATATACCTGATAATATTGATTAACAATGTATAATGCTTAAATTCACAAAGTTACAAAGTTGATTTGGCAATTCATACTTTCAATATTTTATACAGCTTTGAGTAAATGAAAAATAGAAATTGACATTTGTTAGTACACAACTTATTTGAAAACACAGTTAATAGGCTATTTATCAGAAACATTTTATATATTTACATAGTATACAACTTATTTGAAAACACAGTTAATATGGTATTTCTTAAAACAGAAGCTTTTGTTTTAACCATACATAATCAAACATAATAATTGAACACATACTGAGAGATTGTATTCAGCTTTGAATAGCAGAAAACCCCCACCATATGCCCAATATGTCAGTAATATGTTTACTTATCCAATGGAATACCAGGTCAAGGTAGTCTCTCAATGATACAATAGGGAAACAATCCCATGTGTTTTTATGGCTGTACCATCATATCTGTTATGATGGAATCAGGAAGACAGAAGCATAAGTATTAAGAGAATGAGGTATTCACCATACAAACTAGACTTTACATGCATATGATAACACTAAAGGGGAGTCGAAACATCAAATAAGATCAACCATCATGGCATCCTGACTCAGTAGCCTGGTAGACAGCATAGGGCTCATAGAAAAATCCAAACTGTGGGATGTCTGACCATGCACTGTGGTGCACCCATGATGGGAAATCTGGTGGGGCTGTTTGTGGAAGCCTACACCTCTGAAATAATGGAAGTCAAGCAGTTGATATGTATAAGTTATACCCTGGTTTCCACAGTCCCTATGCATCCATCTATCCTGTATGGTGGTGGCTCCATACACTGAATAATTGCTTCTTCCAAATTTCATGCAAGTTGGGATATTATGGGATTCTAACATGGAGCCATATAGAGAAGGCATCTTGGGAAATGTACTTCCTAGTCTTACCTATGTTGATATAACACAATCCAGCAGAACCATTTACTCCTCAGGATTTCATTGCTATATAATAGGCCTCTCTTTGTAACTCAAACTTATTATCCAATTCCCAGCCATAACCAGGACACGGAGCAAACAGCAACTGATGAAAATAATAGTTCATAGGAGACTATACTGTTTCAAGACTTTTTCATACTTACAAATTTCTACCACCTATTTCTTAGCCAGCCAGCAAAATGGAAGAAGGATCCTCTGACCAAGAAATTTAAGTCACTGAGAACAGATAGTTTATGTAAATAAAATGTTTTAACATTAAAAATTGTTGGATTTCTAGTAAAATAGAAAGTTGGGGTATAAGTAATAGGTAAGTGATATCCAGTTTGGAACACATAGGGCCAGTCAGAAAATGCCAACAGATATCAATGTTTCATTGTCTAATCACCTCAAACTTACAGAACAGCCAAAAATCTATGTAAAAATTAAACTTAATGAAAATTAAAAATACAATTTAAATCACCCATGGGTGCAACACACTTCTAAATGGAAAGAGAAAAATTATTCACTGAATTCATAAGGAAAAACATTATTATCAAAATTTATGTAGTATAGATGAAAGAGCACTTAGAGAATCCTCACCTTAATCTTTATCTGCAAGAGAACTGGAAATTCATTTGCTAGAGCTCTACTTTTAGTGTGTGTTACTGATCTAGGTAATACTATATGTATAATTTTTATAAGATTTCTCCCCTGGTGTGAATTTTCTGAATCATTATACATGAATTATTTGCATAGGATTTCCCACACTACTTAGATTTATAGGGTTTCTTTCTAGTGTGATTTCTCACATGACCTTGAAAGGATTTGGGACAACTAAAAGCTTTCTCACATTTTTCACATTTATAGGGCTTCTCTCCATTCTTACATTTTTGGAAGGAAGAGGCCCAACTGAAGGCTTTCCCACATTGTTCACATTTATAGGTTTCTCTCCAGTGTGCTTTCTCACATGTTTGCGTAAAGATGAGGACCAACCAAATGTTTTCCCACATTTTTCACATTTGTAGACATTCTCTCCAGTCTTCTTTCCTACATTTTTGGAAGGATGAGGCCCAACTGAAGGCTTTACCACATTGTTCACATTTATAGGTTTCTCTCCAGTGTGCTTTCTCGCATGTTTGTGTAAGGATGAGGACCAACCAAATGTTTTCCCACATTTTTCACATTTATAGACATTCTCTCCAGTCTTCTTTCCTACATTTTTGGAAGGATGAGGCCCAACTGAAGGCTTTTTCACACTGCTTACATTTATAGTTTTCTTGCTAGTGTGCATTCTCACATGCTTGTGTAAGGATGAAGGCCAACCAAATGCTTTCCCACATTTTTCACATTTATAGGGTTTCTCTCCATTGTGAATTCTCACATGCCTTTGGAAGGATGTAAGCCAACAGTAGGCTTTCCCACACTGCTTGCATTCATAGGGTCTCTTTCCAGTGTGCATTATCATATGTACTCTAAAGGACTTTTGGCAACTGAAGGCTTTCCCACATGGCTTACATTCATACGGTTTCCCTCCACTGTGCATCATCACATGTGATCGAAAAGATTTGGGGCAACTGAAGGCTTTCCCACACTCCTTACATTCATAGGGTTTCTCTCCAGTGTGAATCCTTATATGTTCAGTGAGAGAATAGAAACGAAGAAATGTTTTCCCACAAAATTTACATGCATAGGGTTTCTCTCCACTGTGAGTTTTCACATGAATCCATAGGTATGAAGAACGACTGAAGGCTTTCCCACATTCCTTACATCGATACAGTTTTTGTCCACTGTGACTTCTTTTGTGTCTCATAAGGGATGAAGAATGGGTAAAGACATTTCCACACTGATTGCATTCATACCTCTTTACTCTGCCAAGACGTTTCTTGTGCAGCTTAAAATTTGGGATCTTGCTGAAGGTTCTGCAATGCTCATTATCTTTACTATTTTTACATGATCTTGCCACCATTTCAATTCTGCAAAAAATAGGAAGCACATTAGTAATAGTTTATGTCTTAATACTTTCTTAATATTTACTAATGAGTATTAAGCTTTCATTTTTACCATTTTTCTATGTAAGGTTTTCTTATTTGAATTAATTCAAAGTAGAAAAAACTATGTGCTATATAATAAGTTTCAACTATAGCATATTACTACAACAATAGTAATATATGGGGCTTCCTGGTAATTGTTTCCAACTGAATTATCTTTCAAACACTTTGTGTATAAGTCATATAAAGAAAAAAGTGTTGGGGAGAGGATTTTCTGTGAATAAATAAATTTGGAGCAAGGTTTATGTGGGTTTTGAAAAATTTCATGAAATACTATGATTGTATAGTGGGATACTACTTTTCATTTTAAGTGCAACTCACCTCAAGTATCTCCCCTTGTTTTTGTGCTTATCTTTAATGCTATAGTCTTCCCAATTTTTTCTTAAAAGGGAGGCCCAGGTATCATTTCTTTTGAACCTTGCTATTTTCTGTTCAATAGATACTTTTTCTCCAAAAATATCCTGCTGAGAAATTGACCCATTGGTTTTAAGTTGAGTCTCATTATCTGAAACAAAAAAGTGAACAAGTCTTATTAGAAGTCACCTGTGAGCAAGTAAATACATTGAGGAGTTTAGCTGTTTCATGACTTTATTATAAACAGGCACAAAAGGTAAAAAATGGTAGACAATTTAAAATGCACAAAAAAATCACAAGGTTTCAAACAATAAATCTCTCCATGCTCCCCAAATGACCCATCAATATGTACCCACACTAATGACACTAAAGGAGCCTAACTCTTTAAAACAAGACAGAAAGAAAGCATGGTTTAATATACATATTATTATCACAGAGAAACTATTCATTATAGGTCCAATACAACAATGATTATAACTATCCTATTAACCAATGTATTCCCATACAAATCTAAGAATAGGATCAATGAGCAAGAAATACTTATTCTTTAAATAACTCAGTGAAGAAATAATGCCATCCTTACCCACTGAGGCCAAGTTCTTGAAGGTTTCCAGCATCACATCTCTGTAGAGTTTTCTCTGAACAGGACTCAGCAAGTCCCACTCCTCCACTGTGAAGTCCACAGCCACATCTTCAAAGTCCACTGAGTCCTAAAGTAAACCACGTATATGTGCAGGAGTATGGATGAAACTCACAGAACTGGGCAACTGGACTCAATTCATAGGAAGTTCACACAAGATCCTATAGTCTCCCAACATCTATTTATGACCCACTTGTCAGACCTCTTCCTTTCTGTTCATAGTCACTTGTACACATCACCAGTTAGAGTGGGGAATAAAATAGACTTAACTAAAATAATTTAGCCAGTCACCAAACAAATAAAAATAGATAATAATAATAAGTCCAGAGGGGAAGGGCTACTATCCAAACTTGTTAAAATATATTACCCAAAATGCCCAGTTTTGAATAAAAATGACAAGACACACAAAAAAGAGGAAAATATACTCCTTACATAAGAAAAAGAAAAGCAGGCAATAGATACTGCTCATGAGAGCAAATAGATGTCAGCTTTAAAGAAAAAGCCTTTCCCAGCTACTCGGAAGGCTGAGGCAGTAGGATTGCTTAAGCCCAGGAGTTTGAGGTTGCTGTGAGCTAGGCTGATGCCAGGGCACTCACTCTAGCCTGAGCAACAAAGCGAGACTCTGTCTCAAAAAAAAAAAAAAAAAGAAAAGAAAAGAAAAAGCCTTCAGGCTGGGCACCGTGGCTCACACAGGTAATCCTAGCACTCCAGGAATTCGAGGTGAGCAGATCATTTGAGCTCAGGAGTTCGAGACTAGCCTAAGCAAGAGCGAGACCCTGTCTCTACTAAAAATAGGAAGAAATTAATTGGCCAACTAAAAATATATAGAAAAAATTAGCCAGGCATGGTGGCACATGCCTGTGGTTTCAGCTACTCAGGAGGTTGAGGCAGAAGGATTGCTTGTGCCCAGGAGTTTGAGGTTGCTGTGAGCTATGCTGATACCACAGCACTCTAGCCTGGGCAGAGTGAGACTCTGTCTCAAAAAAAAAAAAAAAAAAAAAAAGAAAGAAAGAAAGAAAAAAGAAAAAGAAAAAGCCTTCAATGTAACCATAATAATGTTCAAAAACCTAAAAAGCAATAAGGAATAGTTAAAGAAGTAAAAGAAGGTATGATGACAATGTTGCATCACATAAAGAATACCAATAAAGATATATAATTATATAGTTTTAAAAAGAACCAAGTAAAAATTCTGGAGCTGAAAAACACAACAACTGAAATGAAAAAGTCACTAGAGAGGCTCAATGATAGATTTGAACTAGGGGAAGACAAAACTACAAGTTATATTATTCCACACATATGAAATGTCCAGAATAAAGAACTCTATATAAAAATAATTACATTAGTAATTATTTATGGCTGGGAGGGGCAGGAGTGGTGATAGTTACAGGGCAGGAGTGGTGATAGTTACAGGGTACAAAGTTGTTTTTGAAGTGATGAAAATGTTCTAAAATTGACTGTGGAGATGGTTACACAGACCTGTGAATAAATTGAAGCCATTGAATTATGCACTTTTTTTTTCATTGCTTAAATCAATTCATTTATTTGGATTTCATTTATTTTTTTTCATTTTTTAATTTCAGCATATTAGGGGGGTACAAATGTTAAGGTTACATATATTGCCCTTGCCTCCCCTCCCCCCTCGAGTCAGAGCTTCAAGCGTGTCCATCCCCCCATATACCCATTCCCTCCTCCCCCCTCCCACCTGCCCAACACCTGATAATTTTTTTTTTTAACATTTTGGTTACATTTTATAACTTTGCTTCTCCTTAGCAAGTGTGACAGGTATGCCCTTCCCCTCCACAATGCTCACTACATCCCTCAGATGTGGGTCTACACCCCCAACCCCCAAATCCCTGGTGAACACCACCACCATTTGAGCACCATAGTGTTAATCAGTCAGTACCAATTTGATGGCGAGTACATGTGAAGCCCATTTTTCTGATCTGTGTCACCTCACTTTGGACACCTCACATTGAACTAGCTGGTCTCTAAGGATGCTTTCCTGATCTGAAATTTTGTAGATTTAGCCATGGTACTCTTTTTATGATTCAGGATCTAAAATAATATAACATCGTGTTCTTTTGAGTAGAACTGCCACTCAAGCAACAAAGAATTTATTAATGGTACTCACAGATTGTTCCTAGCTAGTCCTACTCTGAATTATTAAGATCAAAGTATGTACATGACTCTAAATTTGCATTTGCTTTAATTAAAGCATGAGTAAGAGTCTTTTTTCTCTTTCTGTGTAGGACACTCAGCTACATTTGGATGATGCCATCAGAAGCCAAGATGACCTGAAAGAACAGCTGGCAATGGTTGAGCGCAGAGCTAACCTGATACAGGCTGAAGTGGAAGAGCTCAGGGCATCCCTGGAACAGACTTAGAGGAGCAGGAAAATGGCAGAGCAAGAGCTTCTGGATGCCAGTGAGCGTGCGCAACTTCTGCACACTCAGGTGAGGTTCAGGATTATGGTTAGCAAATGTACTCCCTGGAGTGGATGAAGAAGAACCTGGAGCAGACGGTGAAGGACCTGCAGCACCGTCTGGACGAGGCCGAGCAGCTGGCGCTGAAGGGTGGGAAGAAGCAGATCCAGAAACTGGAGGCCAGGGTGGGTGTCCACAACTTCAACCAATTCCTGGCTTGCTCCACGCAGCTACTTGCAGCCAAACTGTTAAACGCCTCTGTTCTCTTCCAGGTGAGGGAACCTTGACAGAAGAATGATACCAAAGTGTGGCAATAACATCGAGTGAGCTGCTAACCAGGGGAGTCCAGCAAGGCTTCTCAAAGAATGAGCTAGTTCCTGCTATCATCAGGGTTCATTATTTTCTTGATTTATTTGCTAATTAGGCCGCCATGATGGCCGAGGAGCTGAAGAAGGAGCAGGACACCAGCGCCCACCAGGTAAACGGAATGGCTTTCTAGATTATCCAGTCTTCTTTTCCAAAGGGAAAATGGAAACCTGGTGATGATTTATGTGGCATGAACTCCATAAGGGTGCATGGGTCTCTTTCTCCTTTCCACTCAGGACATATATGAGGCTGTCCCCTCCACTTCAAAACTACTTCTCCTTTCATCCCGCCAAGCCCCGGTATCACCTCCAGGCCTTCCCCGGCCATGAATTATGCACTTTAAGTTGATGAATTGTATGGTACGTAAATTATATCTCAATAAAGCTGTGGTGTTAAAAGCTAACACATAATAAATAAATTTATTGAAGGATATAAAAGAATCATAACTTTTAGAAAATAATTTAACTTTATTGGATAATATGAAAACAGAAAGAAATAAATACAAAGAATTCAATGACACTAAGATTGCAGTTCCCCCAAAAGAGACCTGTAGACTTTATAAAATTGCATTAAATCCCCAAACCTAACTTTCTATGACATTATAAAAACTACTTTTTCCAAACTTGGCCGGGCATGGTGGCTCACACCTGTAATCCTAGTACTCTGGGAGGCCCAGGCAGGTGGATTGCTCAAGGTCAGGAGTTCGAAATCAGCCTGAGCGAGACCCCATCTCTACTAAAAATAAAAAGAAATTAATTGACCAACTAAAAATATATATAGAAAAAATTAGCCGGGCATGGTGGGGCATGCCTGTACTCCCAGCTACTCAGGAGGCTGAAGTAGTAGGGCCGCTTGAGCCCATGAGATTGAGGTGCCGTGAGCTAGGCTGATGCCACAGCACTTACTCTAGCCTGGGAAACAAAGTGAGATTCTGAATCAAAAGCAAAACAAAACAAAAACTACTTTTTCCAAACTTAATAGGAAAAACTAATGTAAATAAAAAAAAAGCCAAAATGTTCTGAAGGACAAAATGGGGGCTTGAATAACATGCAGCAAGGAATTTAAAACTATGGAAGTCAAGACAAGAGGGTAATAGCAGATGGGCAAAAAAATAGGTTAATGTAAAAGTAAAGAGTCCTGGATAGACCCTTTCATATAAAAATCTGAATAATGACACAGCAGGCTTTTCAGATTGATGTATACTTTACAACAACAGGGAAGGGAGAAATTGGTATCTAACTGCAAAAAATGCATTATATTCCCACTTATTCCATGGATAAGAACCAATTTGTTGCAAATTTAAATTCAAAAGACAAAACAAGAACACTTTCGGAAGCTACAGGCAAATACTTTTACAACATAAGAATAGGGAGAGTTTTCTTATATAAGAAAAAAAAGTGTTAGCTATAAAGGAAGAGATTCACAAATTCAATCTTATTTAAAATGAAGAGACTGAAAAGATAAACCACAAACTTAAAGAAAGATATTTGATATATATATATTTATTTACATATATGGATTAATGTGTAGACTAAAATTGAATGATCAAATGAATTTTAAAAAATGGGAAAATGACCCAAACATATCTCACAAAAGATGAAAGACCATATATGAAAAGAGCCAACCTCACTCGTAATGAACAAATAGCAACAATTCAAGTAGATCCCATTACAAACCAATAAGAAGGGCAAAAATTAGTAAATTAGATAATCCCATGTTGGCAACCCTATTGAACAAATAAGCAGTTATGCTCAGGTGTTTGAACAATCAACTAGTACACTCTATTGGAGCTTCCTAGTAAATTTGGACTTGGCCATGATCTAGAACCCAGCAACGTTTTTCCAATAGGTGGAGAATTTACTGTGCATTTGTAATTGCAATTGTAGCCTGAAACCAGAATCACAGAAGCAGCAGTTTTCACAAGAGGAAAAAAAGAAAAACAACTTGAAAAACCCAAGCGCCATAGCATTGGAAGAGTGACTAGGATGGCCCACAGCCTCAGAAACCAGCATGAGCAAAGAATTCTCAGAATATTCACTCATTGAAAGCTCTAAAGAGGCAAAACTAAACAGAACTCTGCTTAGAAAAAAATAGTAGAAGGTCAAAGTATGAAGAATAAGCAAAGAATCAAACAGTGGTCACTGATTGTGGCCAGATGGCAGTGAGTGCAGGGAGAGGCACCTCTAGAGACCCTACCAACTACCCAAGGCCATTTGTGAATCTTGATGGACAGTCCCAGATGTTTTTGTAGTTATTACTTTTTTAAAAAAGCTTCCATGAAACACTTTATGCCTTCTTTTGTGAATATGATAGATTTCACATAAAAATGTAAAGCATCAATTAAGGTTGAAAAAATAGACTTTTTATGTGTTTGTTGCACCATGTAATGTGACTGTGCCAGCTGTTATTGACAGTCTTTTGTAGCAAAAGACTGGAAACAGGCCAAGTGCCTAATAGAGAGAATTGGTTATGTAAATTCATCATAAGCACCTTTATGAAAATCTATACCAGCAGGTATCGATATGAAAAGATCTGCAGGAGTTACCAAGAGAACAGATAAGCACAGTGTACTATGAATGTTACTTTTCCTTTAACAAAGGGGGGAAAGAAAAATATGCACTCCTATTGGCCAGTTTTTATATAAAGAAACACTGGCATAATTTGCAAGAAATAATTAAAACTGGTCGTCCAAGCTGGCTGAGGCAAAAACACTGCAGCAGACCAGGCTATGCTGGTCTAAGTTAAACTTAAAACGTTTTTGTGGATTTTTTAAACTTTGCATGTGTTATTTACTTTAAATCAAGAGAAATTTACATAAATCATATTTTGCTTTTTAATGGTTTTTATTTTTATTTGGAAGCCACTTTTCTACATAGGAAACTATTTTAAGATTGAATTCTTTAAACACTAAAGTTTATAAAAGTACAAACCATAAGAAATGAAATATTTTCAAGTATCTTGATAACAAAAATGACAAGTGACATCATAGTTTGTATTTCTATTCTATCTCTGAGGAGTATTTTCAGAAATGAGGAACATATTTAATGCCTCAGGGGTCTGGGCATAACCCATTAAAGGAACTCCAATTTTCAAGACTTTATATATCCTAAAAGGATATATGTCTTCATGTCAGCTAAAATAGGAATTGTCTTAGAAATAGTACAGCCTTTTAAATCTGAAAACTCTCTAGGGACAATTATTGATGTAAAAACATGAAAAATCAACCTGAAAATTTAAATACACCCTACCATACATATCTCAAGGTTCTCTTTCCAAAAAGGAAGAACAATTCCAGAATTATCATCTTACATTTTATCTCTCAATCCACTTAGATTTTCACCCACAAAAATAAAATTCTTACAGACTCAAACAAGGAAGTAAAATTACCAAATGCTTAGGGAAATTGGAGGTAGTTGGCAACAATATTTGACACAGGAATAAAAAGGGAAGAAAATAAATATTTCCATCAGCTCAGATGACGCAACCAGCTTCACCCACAGTTTTCAAAGAAAACTCACATTCAGAAGCTGAAACACATTCCCAACATTGGGGTCCAGACTCTCGCTGCAAAAAATATAACCCCTAGAGTGGGTCGGTCCCCAGTGATGGAGGGTAGGGGGACCTGAGCAGCCACGGGAAGGAACTCAAGGACCTCTCTCCCCTCCTGACAGTGTGAAAACACTCCCTCCCCCAGGACTTCGATCTCCAGTAATGATGAAACTCTCAGCTGCAGTTTAAGTTCTGACCCCCCAAAACTCAAATTCATCCCTTTTACCAGAAGCCAGAACCCAAAGGAGTCTTTCTCTCAGTCTGACCTTGAGAGACTGTCTCAGTTTGCACAAATGACACTCAGACCCCACTAACGCTCTAGATGCCACACCAAACCTACTGGCAGGAAACAGCCCAAGACAATGGCAATTATGACCTCAGAAAGGGCATCGCCGGGCACCCACATCTGCCCGCGGGTCCGCAGCTTCCCAACGCCCTACAGCTGTTCCAGGTGTGACCCGCTGCTTCTGCAGAGGGTGAGAGAGGCTGTGGCACCTGCGAGGCGAGGCTCCCCAGGAAGAACCAACTTCATTTCCCCTCTTTGGAAGCCCCCCATTGGCCTTAGCTTGGAGTCACTGGCCCCAGATCCCTGCTGCTTGGACCTCCATGGATATTTTAAACAAGACGAACCCAGTGTTTGAAGAATCCAGCAAATCACTCAAACCCAGCGTTTGACAGAAGAGAAGAATCAAACGAGGGAAGAAAATGTAAGTACTTTTTATGGTTCAAGAAGGAAACCCACAAGTATCCCTTTCAGAAAATAAAGCAGTCGCCCAATTATTTCTGTGATAACAAAATGCTTTTAATCAGATCTCAAACCTTCTAGGAGGTGCAAGTTTCAGGACATAGCATTTTGCATTCATCCCTGAAGTTCAGATGATAAAAGAGAACAGAATGATCTATTGTCACAAATGCTCCACCCTGCAAAAGGTGAATAACTGATAGTTCAGTGAGTTTTTGTAATTCACCAGTTGATACACAAAATACGTTTTTTACTTGTAGAAATGCATTGATTTGGGGGGCGTCATAACGGAAGAGAGATTTATTCTATTTCTCCAAGATTCCTTTCTCCGGGAGCATTTTCAAGGCTAAGCCCTGGAATCCCACTTGTCATCACGAAATGGAAAACAACAGATGTGAGAAACTTAAGGACACGGGCAAAAAGGGACAACAGGAGAATTAAAAAAAGAAAAAAATACACAGAAGTATTTTTTAACAAATGTAATGTAAGACTGGAACGTTATTTTTTCTGAAATTCACCTCTAAGTTGCCTCTTTGGAAATAGCGTATCTTTCAAGCTCTATTCATTATACATGTGTTACACTTACTGGGGAAAAGAAAAAAACGTCTGAGGCTGAGTCACCAAATAAATCTCTTGAAGGGGACAAAGCCAGGGAGAGGCAGGGCTGAGCGGGACACGATTCCAGGGTCAGGTCCGGCCACCCTGCACCTGTTCCCGAAGAGCAGCCTGAGGGGCCCTGGCTGTGTCCCCGCCGCGAGACCACGGTGTGTTTCGCTTTGCTCTGGGTTACTTTTTCTCCCCGGCTGAGGGGCAGGAAGCATTTCCGTGTCCCCACTCGGGACCAACGTCCCGCCAGGTGGCAACGTCTCCGTAAGAAAAGCGACGCCGGGATCAGACTCTCTGCGGGGCCCAGGGACCAGACGGGGACACAGGCTGCACCTGGGGTCCCCAGCGCGCCCACCCCGCGAGCTGTCCCGCCCTCCCTGGAGGATGACCCGGGGCTGCAGTTCATGGGACTCTACTAACCCTAACTGTAACCCTGACCCCGACTCCGACCCTGGCCCGGCCCGCTCCCGGCCCCGCCCGCTCACCATGTCCCGGCCCCGCTCGTGGGCTCTCCCAGTGGAGCTCCCGGCGGCGACAACGCTCTGGGGATTCCAACGCCTGGGGCCAGCGGGGCGACGGGAGCATTTGCTCAGCCAGGACAGCGACACCCCGCCCTCCAGCCTCCGATAGGACAATGCTCTAGACATGCTCCACCCCCAGCATGCTATTGGATATTGCTCCACCTCTGAGGCCCTGATTGGACGTATTCAACCCGTTCCCAAGTGATCCTCCCACTTCAGCCTTCCAGAATGCTGGGATTACAGGCGTGGGCCACCGCACCAGGCCTGGTTCATTATTTTGATGACAGGATGGCTTCCTGGATACATATGTGTGTCACAACTTACCACATTATATAGCACTCTGGGAGGCCGAGGCAGGTGGATTGCTCGAGGTCAGGAGTTCGAAACCAGCCTGAGCAAGAGCAGACCGTCTGTACTATAAATAGAAAGAAATTAATTGGCCAACTAATATATATAGAAAAAATTAGCCAGGCATGGTGGCGCATGCCTGTAGTCCCAGCGACTCGGGAGGCTGAGGCAGGAGGATTGCTTGAGCCCAGGAGTTTGAGGTTGCTGTGAGCTAGGCTGACGCCATGGCACTCACTCTAGCCTAGGCAAAAAAGCGAGACTCTGTCTCAAAAACAAAACAAAACAAAACAAAAACACAACTTACCACATTATATACTCTATATATGTGCACTTTATTGTGTTTTAGTTATTACTCAATAAACCAAAAAAGTTAGCTTGGCCCCAACCTTTCTATTTCATTCAATAACAAACTTTAAAAATTAGGAAGTTTTTTTATTTTTTACTATATATGGGAAGAATGTAACAATACAATAACTACATGACTCTTGAAGGTTAAATACCACTCATTTGTAACTCTGAGCCTACTAGGCCTTTATACTTCCTTACACAAAGACTACGAAACACATAGAGACACAGAAACACCACAGAGAGACACACAGACACTCCTGGACACAGGGCCCACTGACTGATACATGAAACCTCCCAGACATACCAGTGCGGCCTCACAGAATCACCCAGACTTTGTCACTAGGAAAAAGAAGTAGACACACCCAGACACACATCACAGACACACCCTAAGATATGCTGGTCCCAGAGGCAGTAACAGGCTCTCACACAGACACAGCTAGCCCAGGCCCTCTGCACACCTTGACCCCAGATTTGTTTTGCTCCTTAGAAATTACCATCATCCATACAATGTGTATTTCACTCACATCCCTTGCTTTTTGTCTCTGAGAATGTTGGCTTTAAGGGAACAGGTATATGTTGTCTATTCTGTTCACTGCAGGACCCATGACATGACCTGTTACACAGAGCATCAAGAAATACTTATTTAATGTTCAGGCTCAACACAAACACACGTTCAGAGATTTGTGCATAAATCTCATCATAGGGCTACATCCATCTGAACTTCAGAGAATTAATTTTCACGCCCATCCTGGGTGGCAGAGGATATTCCATGGCCCTTAAACTAAGGCGCTTGGTGGGGGAAGAGCCACCAAAACGATGGCTCTCGGTGGCTTGGTGGGCTGAGGCTTCACTGTTCACATGAGAACCTGAGAACTAGGAGCCTGAGTCCCTGAGTGTCAGGGCACCGCGTGACAAGAGTTATGATGCTGTACCCTTCATGCTGCTCTAGAGTTCTTCCAAGAATGAGCTCCATGTAGCTCAAGACATCATTGGTATCTGTTCCATTGCTCAGCCGTCATGTCCTCTTCTGCAGTCACCCCTGACGCCACTATATCTGCTGCAGTCTCTTCTATCCGCCATTGAGGGTCCTTTGGACGGTCAGGGGCCTCGTCCATCCGACCTCACGGCTCAAGTACATCTGCTGTTATGAGACGCTGGAGGCCTCTGGAGCACGCACCGTCTACCCGCAACAGACATGCAACATCCGGGACCTACGACACCAGAAGCTGAGGGGAAGGAAGAGAAGGGCTTCCACCATTTCCGGTTCTGCTATTGTTCTTGTCTCCTCAAGGTCTCCACTTCCGGTGAGTGTGCCTGTGTACTTCTTCGAAAGTGGGAACTCCCACAGCTCTTTTAGACCGAAGCCCGTGTTGCATCCTGGGAACAATCTGCAGGGCGGGGCTCCCGGAGCCTGAGGGGCTTCTCTTGGGAACTACGTTTCCCACAGGCCAATGGGCTGGGGCTCTGCGCGGTGGGCGCTTCCTGGGAAGTGCGCATGCGCAGCAGTGAGGCGTTTGATAATATTTGCCCTGGGGCGTTGCGAGGAGGCAGATGAGGAGCTTGGGGGCTATGAAAACGTAAGTTAGATGGAAAATGATGGAGAAAGATTGAGTATTGTTTGCTCTTTAATAAAACACTAAGGTGTTACATTTCTTTTCTCTTCCCTAGCTAGTGCTGGAAGTCTACAGAAGTGGAAACGATACCTGTGAAGAGTTAAATAGGCTTTTGGGCCTTTGTGGATCATTAAAAGAAAAAGCTCCTCATTAGCATAGTGGGGAGTAAAAACAAAACAAAACGCTTCTATGAACTCTTTCCACTGTAAAACACATTAAATTTTTTCCTCCTTTAGGATGTCAAAAATGTCTTCTTTTCTATTAAATTTTACTCAAATTGATACTTTATATTCTGGAGCTCACCTTCAAACCACAAAAATGACCAAACATCCCCAATATGACTTACTGCTGCTGACTTACCAATTAGTTTTCAACTCCACTTAACTTTTTCTGCCTTCTAAAGAGGAATAATTTCTCCCAGAGAGAATTATATTCATGATGTGAGAGCATCCAATCCAGGCCAAAGCCTGAATTCCTTGAACTCTCACCAAAATCACCAAAGACAAGACCAAATCTGACAATAAATCGTTTAAAACACCCTCATGTAACCCACAGTTCATCATGTGTTCAAATTGCTTTAACTCAATATAGCCAATTTTCTTTGACTACTAGTCTGATCCAGGTGAGATTTGGCAAAAGCACACTGACAACAACATTATTTACGCTCTTTATTATTTTTAACAATGAATAAAAAAATCATTTCAAGGGTAAATGTAGGTATATAAAAAGAAATAAAATTTACATGACAAAAATACTTGTATACACCTGGTGATATTGATTTGGAATGTATAATGCTTAAATTAACAAAATTACAAAGTTAATTTGAAAGCCATAATTCAGTAAATGAAAAATAAAGATAACATTTGTTACTGTTACAAGTTGAAATTTATGTGTTGAAGCCCTCGATACCTTAGTATGGGACCTTATTTGGAAATACAATTTTTTCAGTTTTAATTAGTTAAGATGAGGTCATCCTGAAGTTGGGTAGGGCCCAATATGAGTGATGTACATATAAAAATAACACCATATGAAGATATACACCAGTACACAGGACGACTGCCAGGTGAAAATTAGAGTTATGCTGCTACAAGTCAAGGGACAACCAGAAGCTAGGTGAGGCCTGAAACAGATCCCTCCCTAACCTCTTCAGAAGGACCATGGGCCTACCAATGCCTCGTTTTTGGGATTCTGGCTCTAGAACTGTGAAAAAGAAAATTTTTGTTGTTCTAGCCCACACAGTCTTTGTACTTTGTTATGACAACCCTGGGAAACTAGTATACAGTCAGTATATAACTGATTTGAAAGCAAAGAAAATATCTTTTTCTTTCTTACTTTTTTTTTTTTTTTTGAGACACAGTCTCACTCTGTTTCCCAGGCTAGAGTGCCATGGCATCAGCCTAGCTCACAGCAACCTCAAACTCCTGGGGCTCAAGCAATCCTCCTGCCTCAGCCTCCGGAGTAGCTGGGACTACAGACATGTGCCAACATGCCTGGCTAATTTTTTTCTATACTTTTAGTTGTCCAGCTAATTTCTTTCTATTTTTTAGTAGAGATGGGGTCTCGCTCTTGCTCAGGCTAGTCTCGAACTCCTGAGCTCAAACGATCCACCTACCTCAGCCTCCCAGAGTGTTAGTAGATTACAGGCATGAGCTACTGCACCTGGCCAGGATATTTCTAAGAAATATCTCTAGAAGGTTCTCCTTGAAAGAAAAAAGCACATTAATTTTAATGACACACAATCAAACATTAAAGCCATATCAAGGAACTGCATTCAGCTTTGAGTAAAAGAAATTTCCCCAAATCTAATATATGAGGAAGATATTTGTTCTTCATAGGACTGGGTAAGCACATCTAAAAATGCAAAAGGGTAACAAAGTCCATGTGTTGTTTTCTTGTTTTGCTGCAACATTTTAGCCTTGTGGTGGAACCAGGATCAGAGCCACTAGAAGTATGAAGAGAACAAGGTGTTCACTATACAAATTAGACATTATACAAATGTGTTAAGATCTAGAGCAGGAGTCCTCAAACTTTTTAAACAGGGGGCCAGTTCACTGTCCCTCAGACTGTTGGAGAGTGCGCACTGTGGGCCTGGGACAAGTCAGCCGCTAAGCGGGACAGGCAACAGCAGCAAAAACACCTAGAGGGCCATATAAATGTGCTAGGTGGCCCGCATGTGACCCACAGGCCATAGTCTGAGGATGCCTGATCTAGAGAAAAGGAAAATCAGAACATCAGAGATTGCCAACCATGACAGTCTGAATCAGTGGTCTGGAGGTCATATAGGGTTTGCAGGAAAATCCAAACTGTGGGTGCCTGACCACACAGGTGTATCTTGATACCAAGCTCCTGGAGATGTCTGTGGAAGACTACATCTCTGACCAAAAGGAAATCAAGCACTTAGTGTTTGTTTTGATGATACTCTGATTGGCAGGGCCAATAATCTGGAAAAAAGCTGAAGGCTGGTGTCCACAATGCCGCTATGCCCGTCTCCATTTATTATGGCCCCCCAAAACTCAGTAGTGACTTCTTCACATCTTCCTTATAAATCTCGTGCAAATTAGGCTATTGGTAAATATAAAGATGGAACCATAAAGGGAAGGGTTTCTTTTTTGTTATTGTTTGTTTGTTTTTTTGGGGTTTTCTTGAGACAGAGTCTTGCTTTGTTGCCCAGGCTAGAGTGAGTGACATGGCGTCAGTCTAACTCACAGCAACCTCAAACTCCTGGGCTCAAGCAATCCTTCTGCCTTAGCCTCCTGAGCAGCTGGGACTACAGGCATGGACCACTGCGCCTGGCTAATTTTTTTTATATATATTAGTTTGCCAATTAATTTCTTTCTATTTATAGTAGAGATGGGGTCTCACTCTTGCTCAGGCTGGTTGCAAACTCCTGACCTCGAGCAATCCGCCTGCCTCGGCCTCCCAGAGTGCTAGGATTACAGGCGTGAGCCACCGAGCCCGGCCAAGAGAAGGGATTCTTACAAATGCTTTTCCTAACATTATCCACACTGACATACCACAAGCCAGCAGAACTATCTCCAACTGTACATTTCATTGTCACATCCCAGGTGTCTCTTAAGTCAATGCCTATTGTCCACTTCATAATCACAAGCAAAGAAAGACAAGCAGTAAACGGCAAATGTTAAAAATGACAATTCACTTGAGACTATACTCTATGAAGAATTTTGCATAATTACAAATTTCTGTTATTTTTTAGGAGGGAAATGGAATAATAAATAAAATAAAGATTCTCCCAATAAGAAAGGATGAAAATAAAATAGGTAAGTTACTTTCAGTATCTGCTACATTTATCAGTAAAAAAAAAAAAATACAACAAATACCAAAGTGTCTTTGTGCCAATAACTCCTTAGAGAACAATTTAAGAAACTAAGTAAAAATTAAACCTACTTGTATATTTAAAATACACTTCAAATCATCCATGAGTCCAATGAACTGTAAAGATAAAAGTTTTATTTACCAAATTGTGAGAAAAAAAAAAAAAAACTACTCGCTCACATATATGTAGTAAGCTAATGGTATTTAGAGAATTATTTCACCTATTTATTTGTAAATAGGGTATAAATACACTCCTTATATGTTCACTTTAAAGATGAGGTACTCATAAAGGCAATACCACATTTACAACTTTTATAAGATCTTTCTCCTGGTGTGAATTTTCTGAAGCATTGTACATGAATCCATTTGCAGGAGGAGGTCCCATATTACACTTATAGTGTTTTTCTGTAGTGTGTATTCTCATGTGTCTTCTTAAGGATGAAGAACAATTAAATGCTTTCCCACAGTGCTTACATATGTAAGGTTTCTCTCCAGTGTGCAGTCTCATATGTATTGGTAAAGATGATGGCCATTTGAAGACTTTCCCACATTCCTTACATTCGTAAGGTTTCTCTACAGTGTGTGTTCGCACATGTTGTTGCAAAAGTTCAGGCCAACTGAAGGCCTTCCCACATTGCTTGCATTCATAGAGTTTCTCTGCAGTATGCCTTCTCATATGTTTTTGTAAGGATATGTGGCAATAGAAAGCTTTCCCACAGAGCTTGCATTCATAGGATTTGTCTTCAGGATGTATTCTCACGTGTTCTCGAAAGCAAGCAGATAAACTGAAGGCTTTCCCACACTGCTTACATTCATAGGGTTTCTCTCTAGTGTGTGTTCTCATATGTTTTCGTAAGGATATGGGCCAATTAAAAGTTTTCCCACATTGCTTGCACTCATACGGTTTCTCTCCAGTGTGCACTCTCATATGTCCTCGAAAGGATGAGGGATGACTGAATGTTTTCCCACATTGGTTACATTCATAGGGTTTCTCTCCACCATGAGTCCTTTCATGTCTTCGAAAGGACTGAGGATAAATGAAGGTTTTTCCACACTGTTTGCATTCATAGGGTTTCTCTCCAGTGTGAATCCTTTCATGTCTTCGAAAGGATTGGAGATAAATGAAGGTTTTCCCACATTGTTTACATTCATAGGGTTTCTCTCCAGTGTGTGTTATCATGTGTCTTCGAAAAGCTGAGGAATAACTGAAAGCTTCTCCACATTCCTTGCATTTATGTGGCTTCTCTCCAGTGTGTGATATCATATGTCTTCGAAATGTTGAGGAATAACTAAAGGCTTCTCCACATTCCTTACATTTATATGGCTTCTCTCCAGTGTGTGTTATCATGTGTCTTCGAAAAGTTGAGGAATAACTGAAAGCTTTCCCACATTCCTTACATTTATATGGCTTCTCTCCAGTGTGACTTCTCACATGACTAGTAAGACTTGAAAAATCAATGAAGGCCTTCCCACATTGCTCACACTCATAGGTTTTCTCAGCAGTGTGAATCCTCATATGTCGATTGAGGGAAGAAGTACGAGGAAAGGTTTTCCCACATAATTTACACACATAGGGTCTCTCTCCATTATGGGTTCTCACATGCATTCTTAGGTGTGAACGACAACCGTAGGCTTGCCCACATTCCTGGCACTGATATGGTTTGTGTCCAGTGTGAGTTGTGATGTGACTCTTGAGGGATGAATGGTGCATGAAGCCTTTTCCATATGCATTGTAATCATACTGTTTTACTCCAGTAGGAATTTTCTTGTAGAGATTAAGATTTGTAATCTGGCTGAAGGCTTCTCCACATTGATCTTCACTTTCGCAAAGTCTCTCCACCATGTCATTTCTATTAAAAATGAGAAGTATCCTATTAATGGTTTAATAATGATCTATTAATATTTATTAGAATTGCATTTTAACCATTTTCAGTGAAAGTGTAGGTTTTCTCCCCTTTCTGAATTCTTTCAGTGTAGAATAAACACAATGCTCTGGAAGAGGATTTGACCATTGCCATTATTAAAGATGTTTCTTATATATGTGGTTTCTTGATAATTGTTTTCAACTGAATTATGTTTCTAATATTCAATGTCTAAGTCACAGTTAAAGAAATATTTTTTGTAAAAATTCTGCTGTGAATAAATAAATTTGGAAATAGGCATATATGAGTTTTCTGTTTGCTTGCTTTTTAAATTTTGTGACATACTAAGATTATTTTCTGGAATACTACTTTATCTTATAAGTACAACTCACCTCAGATTTCTTCCCTGGTTTGTGTGCTGATCTTCGGGGCTAAGGTCTTCCCAAATTTTTCCTAAAATAGAGGCCCAGGAAACATTTCTGATGAATTCTGCTATTTTAGGTTCCTGGAGTATTTTTTCTCCATAAACATCCTGCTTAGAAACTGACCCATTGGCCTTAAATTAAGTTTCATCATCCATAACCAAAAAGTGAACAAATCTTAAAGAAAAAGGGCACCTGTTAGCCAAAAAAGGACACTGAGGAGTTCAGTTATTTCAGGACTTCATCAAGCACACAGTGTCAAAATGACAAGCAATTTAATAAACACAATAAAATTTTCACTGGGTTGCAAAAACAAACTTCACTGGGCCAATGAAGCCTATATCCACAATGACGACACAAAGGGAGCTTTCTTTACAGAAAGAAAAATTCAGTTTAATACATAGATTCTCATTCTCATGGGAAAACTATTAGATTCTAGCACTATGACAGCTGTAACCATATCTGTCTTATTTACCAATGTTTCCCTTTCCACATTCCAAATTTTGGAACAGGTTTGATGTGTAAGAAATACTTGTTCTGTACGTAAACTAAGTGAAGGAATGATGGCATCCTTACCTACTGAGGCCAGGTTCTGAAAGGTTTCTAGCATCACATCTCTGTAGAGATCCCTCTGAGCTGAATCCAGCAAAGCCCATTCCTCCAGGGTGAACTCCACAGCTACATCCTCAAAGACCACTGAATCCTAAAACATCAAACATGTTTTGGCGGAGTATGGTGAGACGGACAGCATGAGAGCACTGTATTCAATTCACATATAGTTCATACAAGATTCTGTGGTCTCCCAACATCTACTCTGTGATTCAGTTGTTTGGCGTCTTCCTCTCTGTCTACACGCACTTCCTCACAGATTTAACAGCACCATTGATACCCTGAACGTATCTCTACATTTTTACCAATTCAAGACTTACTTCTATCAAAAGACTTCAGACCACATTGGAGATATAAAACAAATGCTATACAAATGAAACAGATGTTTGCATTGTAAGACCATCAATCCCTTGTGACACAAAATATCTCAGTCCTCCCCTACTGCACACCACACACCACCCAGCACTACATCCAGCACAGGGTCTAACTTAAATGAAGTTTTAGGACTGGGAACTTTTCTTTCTGTTACCTTCACCAAACATGGGGCCAAGGAGCCTGAGGGGACCCAAACTGCAACAAAGGCCAGGAAGCCATAGTGTCTTAAAGAACTGCAGGTCCAACAGGCTGAATGAAAACATACTTTCAGAGAAGTATTCATTTGAATGTTTGTGTGTAATAATTATCATAGGCTCAGATGCTATTTTTCTCTGTGTATTTTCATGGAAACAAAGTTACTGAGAAATTATAGCTCAGAAAAGAGGAAAAACATACGAGAACTAAGGCCTCTACACATTCCGCACACTCCTGGGCCTCAGTACTGAAGCCTTACGAATTTGATCGTGTTCTCTCTCTCTCTCTCTCTCTCTCTCTCTCTCTCTCTCTCTCTCACACACACACACTATACACAGTGAGGTTATACAATGCCCAAACAGCTCTTTTCACCAAAGCCATAAAGATTATTCCTGCTAACCTTACAAATAAGGTTAAGAGTCCTACTTTGTGAAGAAATCAACTGAAGTCTAAAACTTATCTGACTATACATTTGCCATGTATATAAAAGATATGAAGGATTTAGCAGTGTTGCAAACCTTACAAATAAGGTTAAGAATCCCACTTTGCAAAGAAATTAACTGAAGTCTAAAACTTATCTGACTAAAAATTTGCCATGGATATAAAAGATATAAAGGATTCAGCAGTGTCTTCCAACAAAACATTCCCTTGTCTCAAATTCCAGGAGGAAGTGGTTCCTCCAGTAAGAGGCTACACTCTCAATTTCTCACTTCCATATCCCATATTGGGCACATGAGCATGACAGCCCAAACCCTGAGCATAGGAACCACTGAGACACATGGTTCCTTTAAACCCTGGTTTCTGAAAAAAGATCATCAACCCACTAACATCCACAAGCAGGATTCAGAGAAAATACTGTCATGTAAAATTCTTTTTTTTTTTTTTTGAGACAGAGTCTCACTTTTGTTGCCCAGGCTAGAGTGAGTGCCATGGCGTCAGCCTAGCTCACAGCAACCTCAAACTCCTGGGCTCAAACGATCCTCCTGCCTCAGCCTCCCAAGTAGCTGGGACTACAGGCATGTGCCACCATGCCCGGCTATTTTTTTGTATATATATTTTTAGTTGGTCAATTAATTTCTTTCTATTTTTAGTAGAGACGGGGTCTCGCTCAGGATGGTTTCGAACTCCCAACCTCGAGCAATCCGCCCGCCTCGGCCTCCCAGAGTGCTAGGATTACAGGCGTGAGCCACCGCGCCCGGCCTGTCATGTAAAATTCTGATGCTAGCATTTACCTACTTAACAAAGCAACAGAATCATGCCTATACTACCATATCATTGGTACAGGGAATGACATGAGCTTCCTGGGTCAGAATTCATTGCTCTTGGTATAGGGTGTCTGTATTATTTTCTCATAATGAAGTTCCCTGACCTAGTGTGCAGAAAAGAGTTAACGTTGCAGGCCTGAGACTTCATCTTTAGAAAGGCTTGCTGTAACGATGGCCTTGGCTGGTGTCTGGGATTCACACCACACTAAATAATATTACTCACTGTGCAAAGAGCACTGTTAATGCTGAACACCTGCTTTCCCTCTGGAAGTCTGGCATTTGGGTACCATGCCAGGCAGAAGATGCTACATACTAGGCAGAGGATGTTTATGTGACCTGTCAGCAATAAAAATCATGGGCACTGAGTTTCTAGTGAGCTTCCTTGGTAGACATATCACGTGTTGTCACAACTCATTGCTAGGGGAGTCAGACGCAGTGGCTCCACTGGGAGAGTACTCTCACAAGCTTGCATCTGGTTTCTTTTGGACCTCTTCCCAGGCGCCCTTTCCTTGCTGATTTTGCTGTGTGCCCCTTTGTTGTAACAAATCAGTCACGAGTATGACTGTACGCTGAGTCTTGGGAATCCTACTAATAGGACATAGGGGTGGTCTTGGGGATACCTGATACAGTTGGCATCAGAGGTGGGATTTGGTAGAATAACTTTGACTCACTGAAATACAGCAAAAGCATCGTACAGCAAAGGATGAAGGGGTAGAGGCTGGTGAGTCTTTGGTGCCTGGGTGGCTGTGGAGTCATCCAGGGTAGGAAACAGCAGCTGAAATACTGTCTGCTGTGAGAATTAAAAGTTCATGCAGGGGAAGGCAACAGATGCAACCGCAGGAGGGTGGGCTCACTGGATGTCCTGCCTGCTTTTGGCCATTCAGGCTAAGTGGCAGAAGAAGTGCAGCCTTTGGTTTTGTTCTCTCCTCCGGGTAGGAGAAAGGGATCCCATGTTCCCAAAGGTAAGCTTTGGATGGGCAAGAAATGTTAAAAGTTTGCATTGCACTGGGAGGGGAAAAAATGTTAAATCAATTCAGGCCTGGAGCAAGATTTTAGATAAACAATGGGGAAGGGGAGCAGAGACACTCTAGCCTTTTTCATCCTGCTGCTGGGGCTGTCGGAGCCTCCTGACCAGCCAAGGTCTTCCCCAGCAGCTGCGATCTCATCCCTGCAAGTGCTGAGCTGACAACCAGGCCTCTGTTGTAGATTGTCCCCGGAAAGACAAGTCCATATCCTGACCCCTGGTAGCTGAGACTGTGTTTGTATGCATGACTGGTTGTAGAGCAGCCTAAAGGAGAATAGTAGTAATGTAACCATTTGAGAAAACACTGCAAAGTGATACCTAAATTGCTTTTAAATATTGTACAAACACATTTATAACAATACCCATATATGTGCATAACTATATGTAATTATATAACTATATTACATACCATAATTCATATGTGAATTACATATATGAATAATTCAAAATAATGGTTACATCTGGAGAGTAAAGCGGCCTCGACTGGGATGCATTAAAAGTGGGGTGTCAGGGTGAAAGCTTGTTCTACATCTAAGGCTGGCTTTCATTTCACAGAGGATTATGTTTTAATATTTTTTTGTTAACTGTACATATGTCACACCTATTTTTCTGCATTGATGTCATATTGTACAATAGAAAGCTCTAAAATCAAGCTGGGCAGTGGTTCATGCCTGTAATCCCAGCACAATGGCAGGCCAAGGCAGAACGATTGCTTGAGGCCAGGAGTTGGAGACCAGCCTGGGCAGCACAGCGAGACCTCTGTCTCTACAAAACAAACAAACAAATTCTTTTTTTTTTAATTAGCTGGCTATGGTAGTATGCCTGCCCAGTTCCTTGGCAGGCTGAGGCAGGAGAATCACTTGAGCCCATGAGTTCAAGGCTGCAATGAGCTAAGATTGCACCAATGTACTTCAGCTTGGGTGACTTAAGAGTTGCTGAAAAACGGCCGGGCGTGGTGGCTCACGCCTGTAATCCTAGCACTTTGGGAGGCTGGGGCAAGCAGATCGTTTGAGCTCAGGAGTTCAAGACCAGCCTGAGCAAGAGTGAGACCCCATCTCTACTAAAAATAGAAAGAAATTAATTGGCCAACTAAAAATATATTTAAAAAGTACCCAGTTATGGTGGTACATGCCTGTAGTCCCAGCTACTTGGGAGGCTGAGGCAGGAGGATAGCTTGAGCCCAGGAGTTTGAGGTTGCTGTGAACTAGGCTGACACCACAGCACTCTAGCCCAGGCAACAGAGTGAGACTCTGTCTCAAAAATACCTTTCTAATTAATAGCAACAGCAAATTAGAAAAGTGATCTTTAAAATGATAACACTATGGTAAAAACCAAATTTAATTGAGTACTAAAGTCTAAAGATATAAAAAGAACCCAATTGAAAAATTCACAAACAATATTGGAAAATGTCAAAGCAAAAGGAAATAAATGGATAGAAATAAATAGGAAAAGTTCCCAGAAAGAACTCAGTGTTACCAAGATATCAACCCTCCCAAAAGAGACCTATGAACTTAATAAAATTCCATTAAATCCATGAACGATATATATATATTTTTTTGAGACAGAGTCTCACTTTGTTGCCCAGGCTAGAGTGAGTGCAGTGGCGTCAGCCTAGCTCACAGCAACCTCAAACTCCTGGGCTCAAGCAATCCTCCTGCCTCAGCCTCCTGAGTAGCTGGGACTACAGGCATGCACCACCATGCCTGGCTAATTTTTTCTATTATATATTAGTTGGGCAATTAACTTGTTTCTATTTATAGTAGAGACGGGGTCTCGCTCTTGCTCAGGGTGGTTTTGAACTCCTGACCTTGAGCAATCCACCCGCATCGGCCTCCCAGAGTGCTAGGATTACAGGCCTGAGCCACCGAGCCCGGCCCATGAACCATATTTTTTTAAGGACTTGATAAATGCTCATTTTAGAAACTTAATAGAAAGAACAAATGTCCAAAATTAGCCAAAACAACTTGAAGAACAAGGTGTGGACTTGCTTAACATTCAGCAAAGATTTTTTTTGTTTTATTTTGTTTTGTTTTTGAGTCAGAGTCTCACTCTTTTGCTCAGGCTAGAGTGCCGTGGTGTCAGCCAACCTCAAACTCCTGGGCTCAAGCGATCTTCCTGCCTCAACCTCACGAGTAGCTGGGACTACGTGCATGCGCCACCATGCCTGGCTAATTTTTTCTATATATTTTTTTAGTTGGCCAATTAATTTCTTTCTATTAATAGTAGAGATAGGCTCTCACTCTTGGTCAGGCTGGTTTCAAACCCCTGAGCTCAACTGATCTGCCCGCCTTGGCCTCCCAGAGTGCTAGGATTACAGGCGTGAGCCACCGCGCCCGGCCAGGAAAGATTTCTAAAGTACAGTCATCCTGACATTAAGGCAGTTGCAGCAGAACAGTCAACTCATTCAAAGGAAAGGAAGAGCGCCCTGCCCCTGGCCATTGTGTTTGGTGAAATGTGGTTAATGCGAGGGAAGTCACTGCAGAGCAGTGGAAGAGATGACACACACGTTAACCCATGAGGCAATGACAAATTGTTATCTACATAAGACAAATTCCCTGGCCGGGTGCGGTGGCTCACGCCTGTAATCCTAGCTCTCCGGGAGGCCGAGGTGGGAGGATCGTTCGAGGTCAGGAGTTCAAAACCAGCCTGAGCAAGAGTGAGACCCCATCTCTACTATAAATAGAAAGAAATTAATTGGCCAACTAATATATATACAAAAAGTTAGCCGGGCATGGTGGCACATGCCTGTAGTCCCGGCTACTCGGGAGGCTGAGGCAGTAGGATTGCTTGAGCCCAGGAGATTGAGGTTGCTGTGAGGTAGGCTGATGCCACAGCACTCACTCTAGCCTGTGCAAGAAAGTGCCACTCTGTCTCAAAAAAAAAAAAAAAAAAAGACAAAGTCCCACCTATTTCATGACCAATAAAGAATTTATTGTAGGCCGGGCGAGGTGGCTCACGCCTGTAATCCTAGCACTCTGGGAGGCCAAGGCGGGCAGATTGTTTGAGTTCAGGGGTCTGAGACCAGCCTGAGCAAGAGCAAGACCCCGTCTCTACTAAAAAAATAGAAATTAATTGGCCAACTAAAATTATATAGAAAAATTAGCCGGGTATGGTGGTGCATGCGTGTAGTCCCAGCTACTCGGGAGGCTGAGGCAGGAGGATTGCTTGAGCCCAGGAGTTTGAGGTTGCTGTGAGCTAGGCTTAGGCCACTGCACTCTAACCAGGGCAACAGAGTGAGCCTCTGTCTCAAAAAAAACTACAAAGAATTTATCGCAGATTTAAGGAAAGAGTATTGGAGATCGTTGGAATCAGAACAGAAATAATACAGTGCCACAAATTCCCCATCATGCCGAGCAGAACAACTGATATTTCGGTGAATCTTTATAATCCTCCAATTTACCTGTGACACACGTTTGTGGAAATGTATTCATTTTCCTGCAGCCAGACTGGAGGGGAGATTTCCTCTATTTCTCTGAGAGTCTTTTCCCCAGGAACATTGTCAAGGCTAAGCCCTGGAATCCCATTGGTTATCACTCAACTTTAGAAAGGAAGAGACCTGAGAAACTCACTACACATTCTCCGGGGCAAAAAGTAAAAGGTAAAGATGAATGTTTAACAAATCTCAAAACTGGTTTGACAATAGAAAAATAAATAAATAAATAAAAATAAAAGGAATGTTTAACAAATGGAAAGTAAGACTAAAACGTTAATGTTTTCCTGATAGTCACCCCTTTGGAAATATTTTAGCTTATCTTTCAAGCTCTATTAATTAAATGCATTTTATATTTACTGAAAAAGTGAGGCTCCAATAAGTAAAAAAATCTTTACAGGGAGGGGCAAACCCAGCCAGGGGTCGTGTCTGGCCATCCTACCATGAGGAATATCTATACCCCACCTGCTCATGGAAGTGTTCCCTGAACAAAGAACACTGGACGTGTCCCTGCTGTGTGTCTGCAGTGCACTTTGCTTTTCGAATCGTTACACTCCCTCCCAGGTCTGGGGTCCTCTTGTGTCTTGGTTAGTTTCCTCCTTGTGTGAGAGCCCAGGGCCCGGAGTCACCTGTCTTTCCCCCTTACTACCAGCACCTTGCAGGTGACAGATTAACCACAGTGTCCCCAAGAAGGACACTGGACTTAGGGGAGCACGTCTCCGCGTGCCCCAGCGGTGGGCTGTTCACATGGGAGGGGCGCTGCCTAGCGATTCCTCCCAGCCCAGGGCACCAGGCAGCTGCCTGGGGACCTCCGCCACACCGCGCGCTGTCCAGCGGGGCAGCCCGGCGGGTCCCCGAGCGCGGGCAGCTGAGAAGACACCAACCCGGGCCCGACCCGCCGCGGCTCCGGGATGCCCGTCCCGGGAAGGCCCTGGGGGAGAGCCCGGGACTGTCCCCGCGGGACTGGGACTCTGGCCGCCCGCTCCGGCCGGGCGGAGGGACGCGGGGACCAAAGCCCCGGAGACAGACGTCGGCCGCGCTGCGCACGAACAATGGGCGGGACCCGTGGCCCCCGGGGCACCGACATCCCCCGCCCTGGAGACGTCGGGGAGCCGGGCGGGCCCCGGACCCCCAGCGCGCCTGACCCGGGTCGCAGACCCTCCCCGGGGGTCTCGCCCGCGCGCCGGCCTCCGCGGCACCGCGCACTCACCATGTCCGGCCCGCTCCTGGGCGCTCCGGGGCAGCTCCGCGGCCCGTGCAGGGGAGCGCGCCGGGCACCGGGACGCCTGCGTCGCTCGGGGACAGGCGGGGCGGGCGCGCGCGGCCCGGGAGACAGCAAAGGCCCGCCCCCGGAGCCTGATTGGACGCCGGACAGGGCAGCGGCGCCCTTGATTGAACAGCGCTGCTCATGTCTGAGCCCCTTATTGGAGAGTTCCTCACCCCTCATCCCTCTGGCGCCCTTGATTGGGCAATACCGCCAGGTACCGCCCATCTGTCCCCTCATTGGATAGTTCTCTACGACCCGCCCCCCTGCAGCCTGAGTGACAGGCGCGTCGCGAACACCCGTGGCTGCCCCCGCGGGCCGGGGACCTTCGTATCTGGGCTAACTTGCTCCGGCCCCTCCTGGATGAGCGTGGGAACTCCAGACTCAGTTTCCCCATCCTACGACCCTAGTCCGAGGCAGGAGGCGCCAGGGCAGGCCGGCTGCCTGGGCTTCTGTGAGGTGGAGCGGGACTGGGCCCAGAGCTCCCGAGTCTGTGATCCGCGTCTCAGACAAGACCTCAGCGTGACGTCACCACGTCGGCTCCGCGCGGACGTCGGACCACGCACGCCGCGGAGGCCCCGCCCAGCCCCCGGCGCTGGGTTTGGAGACCAGAAATGTCTTGGGGGTAGGGGGATTGGAGGTCGCCGCCCGGCCGGGGGCAGGGCCTCTTCTCCAAACCATCAGATATAAGATGTTCCTTAAAATCTTCAAATTCACATTTTATCCTGCAAGAAAATTTATTTCACATCAGCTTCTTAGCGTATGCCCAGTTGATTTTGAAAATTAAAAGGCTATATTGCACAATATGAATGTACCTAATACCACGGAACTGTACACTTAAAAATGGGAGACTGAGGCCGGGCGCTGTGGCTCACGCCTGTAATCCTAGCTCTTGGGAGGCCGAGGCGGGCGGATTGCTCAAGATCAGGAGTTCAAAACCAGCCTGAGCAAGAGCGAGACCCCGTCTCTACTATAAATAGAAAGAAATTAATTGGCCAACTGATATATATATAAAAAATTAGCCGGGCATGGTGGCGCATGCCTGTAGTCCCAGCTACTCGGGAGGCTGAGGCAAGAGGATTGCTTGAGCCCAGGAGTCTGAGGTTGCTGTGAGCTAGGCTGACGCCACGGCACTCACTCTAGCCTGGGCAACAAAGTGAGACTCTGTCTCAAAAAAAAAAAAAAAAAAAAATGGGAGACTGAGGCAGGAGGATGGCTTGAGCCCAGGAGTTGGAGGCTGCAGTGAGTTATGATCACTCTACCCAGAGCAACAGAGTAAAACTCTGTCTCAAAAAAAATAAAAAAGTTAAGATGGTAAATTTTGTGTGTATTTATTTATTTAAATTTATTTATTTAAAGTTGTATTTTTTTAAAATGGCAATGATATCGATATGGCGATTGGATTCCTACTTTAACTGATATAACACAAAACAAACAAAACCTAATATAAATTTGTGATGGACCCGAAAACTCTCCATACAGTTAATAGATTGAGGCTGAATACCTAATGCATTTAATTGGCTACTCAATTCAGAAAACATTGTCTAGCTTAAGTGAATGTACAAACTCTGGTATCATTTGTCATTTCATTTACAAACAAAACATTGCTTTTTATTGTTTGCAAAAAGGCTTTATACACTTTTATAAAAATTAGTGTTTAGAGGATTAACACAGACAAGAAACTGCTGTTAAAAGCAAATTAATCACTGGATGTATAAAATATTAAAACATAAAATATCTCCATATACATTTTTATTTATTATGCATTAATAGCAAATGTCAAGTTTCAAGAAAAATCCGCATGAAATTTAAAAGTCTGCCTTATGGCTGGCTCTTGGCGTGTACCTCTAGGAGTCCTATGTGCTTCCATGATGTCTCCACAGACATTTGTCTTCATATCTTGGTAACATCACACATAAAGAAGATGTTGTTTCATTTATTAGGGTGAAAAATTAGGCTGGTCTCTGAATTCTTCGCACAACATTGACTACCACAAGAGAGAAGAGTCACAACTATGGTTGTTTGAGCAGAAAGAAGTTCAGGATACTTAGAGCATGCCAGGATGTTATTCGAGGATAAAGGTAACATAGTCATTCTCAAACATGCAAGGAGTGGCAGGGACAGGAAGTCTACAGGATGGAGCAGATCCCTTCTCTCTTCTCCAGCCTTCCATCCTACCTGCGAAGTCTCCCGTTAGCACAGCCTAATGGGAAGCTGCTGGCAAGGTAATATGTGAGTTGCAGCATTTCTCTTGCACATCACAAAGTCAAGTGTGAAAGGGTAGTTCTGACATGCAGGAGCATGGCCCCCAAAGATGTCTACATCCTAATCCCAGGAACCTGTGAATATGTAACCTTATAGGTAACACAGGGGATGGGATTATATTACAGATCTGAGATGGAGACACTACCCTGGATTATTGGTTGGACCCTAAACATAATCACAAGAGTCCTTAGAAGAGGGGGGCAGGAGAGATGGGACATTAGCAGAGATTGGGGTGATGAAGGGCCATTAGCTATGGAACATGGGATAGCTTCTAGAAACTAGAAAAGTCAAAGAACAGGATCTCCCCTAGACTTTCAGAAAACATAGCCCTGCACACCTTGATTTTAGACTTCTGACCTCCAGGACTGTTAAGAGAATAAATCTGTTGTCTTATGCCACTAAATTGGTGGTATTTGCTACAGCAGCAACAGGAAGCTCATATAGTGGAGCTGAAGCACAGAGACAATGGCTTAGTATGGGGCACAAACAACTCTTGTTCCCAATCTCATATTTCATGAGATTTTGAACCTTCCATGTGCACCTTCTTCAACATCACTCTGCTCATACTACAGAAAAATGGATCTGACAGTTTTTCAGAGAACAACATCTTTGCATCTTTGTGTTTGTAATATACTATTTTTGGATCGATCCTCCAGGATAATTTCCATCTACAAATTTTATCCCAAGCCATAAGCATCCATCAGTAAGACATAATAATGGACCATTGATTTGGAAATGAAATTAGAAACTTATTATTAATATGGCTAAAGTAATAGAACAAGCCAGATTCTGAATCACAGAAACAGAAAACACACCTTCTTCTCCAGCATCTATGGAAAACTTCTAAAACCCGATCACATGGTAAACTGCAAAGCAAGCTTCGATAAACTCCGAAGATTCAAAACAGTAGACACATTCTCAGACCACAGTGCAATAAAAGCAGAAATTTAATAAAAGAAAAACATCAAAGGTGTTTATGAAAACCCCACAGTTCACATGATACTTAATGGTGAATGACTGAATCCTTTTCCCTAAGATCAGGGACAAAGCAAGGGGGTCCACTCTTACCATTTCAGTCCAGCATGACTCCAGAGGACCAAGCCAGTACAATAAGAAAAAGATTTAAGAAAAATATATTTAAACAACAGAAACTTAAAAAATATATTCTCTCTCAGGCCAGACAAGGTGGCTCATGCCTGTAATCCTAGCACTCTGGGAGGCTGAGGCAAGAGGATTATTCAAGGTGAGGAGTTCAAAACCAGCTTGAGCAAGAGTAAGACCCTTTTCTCTACTAAAAATAGAAAGAAATTAATTGGCCAACTAAAAATATATACAAAAAATTAGCTGGGCATGGTGGCACATGCCTGTAGTCCCAGCTACTCAGGAGGCTGATGCAGGAGGATTGCTTGAACCCAGGAGTCTGAGGTTACTGTGAGCTAGGCTGACACGATGACACTCCAGCCCAGGAAACAGAGTGAGACTCTGTCTCAAAAACAAAAACAACAACAACAAAAATATATATATAGTATACATATATATATATATTCCCTCTCAAAACACTTTCAAATCAGACATATTGAACCAAAAATTTGTAGATTTAGAAAATACTTAACATTTCACAGGTGAAAACAAAGCTATACTGGAGCTCTCCTCTGAGTTAATTCCTCATCTTGGATGCTCTGATGGCTCATCTCAGAAAGGTCCTATCTGAGGCTGGTCCCTGTGGATTATCTGTCACAGCAGCATCATGTGCATGTTCTCCATAGCATCTCCCCAAATCTGTAATTACTTAATTAAATTATTTGGTTACTTGCTTAATATCTGTCCCTACCCCCCACTCCCATATGGGACAGGCTACAGAATGTTCAGGGCTCACAGCAGCATGAAAGTGGGTAGGGGTTTCTTATTATTAAAATCATAATGATTTGATAATATCTCACTATTTCTCCATATGATTAAGAATATAAAGGTGGGGATATTAAACCAATCACAGGACAGAATCGAGCCTTGTGTGACTAGAGGGGTCCCATGCCCATAAAGCTAGTCTTGCTCCTTCAACACTAGAATATGTGTCCAATGAGAGCAGCAACCCTGTCTGCCTCATACACAGTCACCAAAGTTCTCTATGAATAATTCTTGGAGGGAGGGAGATATCAAGACTGAAAACAGTGTACTCATGATACATCTAAGTCAACTTTTCTCAAGAATATAGGCTGGGCATGGTGGCTCATGCCTGTAATCCCAGCACTCCAGGAGGCCAAGGCGGGAGGATCACTTGAGGCTAGGAGTTCAAGATCAAGAGTATGCTAAAAGCTACAGATACTTTCCCCAGAAAACACATCTATGCACCAACACACATTTGCCATACAGTACAAGGCTGTTCATGGAGCCCTTAAGAAACTTACCCATCAACCAAGTTGAGCCTACATAGACCCCAGATAAAGGATCTCTACTTTAAGGAAAGGTAGCAAAATTCCTATGAACAGGTCCCATTTGGGTGAAAGGAGAGCTGAAACCTCCCTCATTAGCTCTTAGAAAAAGGGAAGATTCAGAGAAAAGTGAGGTGACTTCCAAGGGGAAATTTGAAAACCACAAACTCCCCTAGGTACTTCCTTGATTGGCCACATGGAAAATCAGGCATTGGCTTTGTACAGGCTGCTAGAGTTCAAATCCAGATTTTACTACTTTCTAATTGCATAACCTTAAGCAAGTTACTTTATTTCTGCTTCCCCTTCTGCAATATGGAGGATGAATAGTGATCGTCTCATGGGGCTGTTGTGAAGGTTAAATCAGAAACCACGTGTAAGTATTGGACTGGTGCCGGGCATACAGTAAACACTCAATAAATTTTAATGATGATGTACAACCACACTCTTGGTTTCTACTCTGCCAAGCACATCTCACAGCTGGGACTTTTCCCAGGCCACCCAAGGTTGCTAAACTTCCCCATTTTTCCAAAAAAATCACACATAATCAGATAACCTTGACTAACAATCAAGTGGATAAACTATCCACTTCTTTACATCTCTAAACTTTGCCGTGTGTGTGTGTGTGTGTGTGTGTGTGTGTGTGTGTAGGCTTCATTGGATCAAATTGCACACATTATTTTGCATCCTTTATTATTTTTTTACTTCACATCCAAAGCAATTGTCATCTTAACACACACTCTGCTTTGCCATAGTAGGGCATGAGGAAAATTAAGAAATAGCTAAGTGGCCGGGCGCGGTGGCTCACGCTTGTAATCCTAGCACTCTGGGAGGCCGAGGCGGGCGGATTGCTCAAGGTCAGGAGTTCAAAACCAGCCTGAGCGAGACCCCATCTCTACCATAAAAATAGAAAGAAATTAATTGGCCAACTAATATATATAATAAAAATCAGCCGGGCATGGTGGCTCGTGCCTGTAGTCCCAGCTACTCGGGAGGCTGAGGCAGGAGGATCGCTTGAGCCCAGGAGTTTGAGGTTGCTGTGAGCTAGGCTGACGCCATGGCACTCACTCTAGCCTAGGCAAGAAAGCGAGACTCTGTCTAAAAAAAAAAAAAAAAAAAAAAAGAAATAGCTAAGTGACCAACAGGGGTGGAATGACTAAGTAAAACATTGAAACAAAATACTTAATGTTGAATTAATAAGTTGAAAGTGCAAACAGAATACCTTTAGTTTCAGCAACTAAATTAACATGTGATGGTTTTCAGCAAAATCCCATTCCACATTAGCATTCTCATTGGCCAATCTTTTCTAAAAGAGTATAGCTTATTGAGTATATCACAGAGCTTTCTTTCAAGAATGTGACATGAACCTACTTCCTGTCAAATAGTACATCACCCAGGACAAAGTCTAATCACAGTTACCTGTCAGAGTGCTAAGAGGTGCTTTCTGAGGCAGCATGCAATTCCTAAAATCCAATAAGGTGGCCGCTCTGATAGAATGCTTTTGCACAGTCTATTATCTTATAGGTTTTCTGGCTAGTGTGAGTTTTCTGATGTGTGATAAGGGAAGAGCTCTGACTGAAGGCTTTCCCACATTCATTACAGCTATAAGGTTTCTCTCCGGTGTGAGTTCTCTCATGCCTCACGAGAGAAGACCTCTGGCTGAAGGCTCTTCCACACTGGTTACACTCATAGGGGTTCTCCCCAGTGTGAGTTCGCTCGTGCTGGTTGAGAGAGGAACGATCACTGAAGGCTTTCCCACATTCGTTACATTCATAGGGCTTCTCGCCAGTGTGTGTTCTCTTGTGCAAAATCAGGTAAGAGCTCTGGCAGAAGGATTTTCCACAGTCTTCACATTTATAAGGCTTTTCCCCTGTGTGAATCCTCTGATGTTGAGTCAGAGACGAAATCCTGTTGAAGGCTTTTCCGCATTCGCCGCAGGTGTAGGGCTTCTCTCCAGTATGAGTCCTCAGATGGCGTGTAAGGGTCGAGCTATGTGTGAAGGCTCTCCCACATTCCTGACACTCATACGGTTTCTCTCCCGTATGAATTCTCTGATGTTCACTCAAAGAATGCCTCCGGTTAAACACCTTCCCGCACTGGTGACATTCAAAGGGTTTCTCTGCTGTATTAATTTTGTTGTGCATGGTAAGAGCCATACTATGATTCAATGGTTTCCCATTTTCCACATACACAGACATTTTGCCCCCAGTTTGAGTTCTTTCATGTTGAATAAGGTGACTGTCTTGACTGACAGCATTTCCACATTCATTACTTTCACAGGGTCTCTGAGCTACATATCCCATCTGATGGCACTTTAAGATTGAATCAGATGCCAAACTCTCAATATCTAGCTCACTGTCACGGATGGATTTTCCTACTGACCTTCCCTGAGATAGAACAAAGTCTGAGCTCAGATTACTGTTGTCCCCAAATCCACACCATGCAGTTGCTTTCTGCTGAGCAACTGCCTTTATTTGGATGGATGCCATTTGCCTCAAAAGCCCCTGGGGGTCATCGTGGTTTTCCTTGAATTGGTCACATCCCCAGTCTTCTACTGCAAGTCTTATGATATTCACACCACTGGATGGTTCTTCCCCACAAACCACCTTCTTATAAGTTGATTCTTGGTTTTTCAGTCTTGTTTCCCAATCTGAAATACATTGGAGAGAAAAAAAAATGTTTTTGGAGGAAGAAACTGCTACCTTAAGAACAGGGCAACAAAAGCCCTTCCAACATACACAAGACCCACGTGGACTGATGGTCAAATATTGCCTTTCGACATGGGGGAAGGGTGAGAAAGAGAGACACGGGTCAGTAAAGAAGCTGAGCATAGGACACAGTGTGAGAAGTTTGGCAATGACAGAGAGGAGTGGAAGTGGATGCATAGAAGCAATTACTCAATAATGATGGGAGAATAAAGATGGCAGAGTGAAGCATCAAGACAGCAAAAGGAGAAGAGATGTAACTAGAAGAAAAGGCAGAATGACTTCAAGAAGAAAATGGGGTCAGGTGCAGAGGCTCACAACTGTAATCCCAGCACTTTGGGAGGCTGGGGTGGAAGGATAGCTTGAGCCCAGGAGTTTGAGACCAGCCTGGGCAACAGAGCAAGACCTGTTTCTACAAAAAAAATTTTTTTTAAATTAGCTGAGCGTGGTGGTGGTGGTTGTGGTGGTGCCTGTAGTCCTAGCTACTGGAGAGGCTGAGGCAGAAGGATTGCTTGAGCCCAGGAGTTCAAATTTGCAGTGAGCTACGATCACACCACTGCACTCCAGCCTGGGAAAGAGAGCAAGACCCTGCCTCTAAGAAAAAGCCTCACCTGAACAGGAGGCTTGGGGAATTCCTTTCTCCTCCACCCACAGGGCTTCTCTTTGCTGCAAACGGAAAGGCTCCACTGGCCGAAAGAGTGAATACCCCATCCGTGGGGAAAGCCTGGTGGCTTGAGGGGTCTGTGCTGGGGAAAACGGGTCGTCCTCAATTCCTGCATCAGTACTTTGGTTCTTCAGGGCTTCTGAAAGAGACAAGAGTACTTTTTAGCGGTAGCACGTTTCCCAAGCTAGAGATATTATTTTCCTAATTAAAAAAATCTTGGATTCCATTTGGATGCTATGTTTCCCCCAAAGAAAATATGCAAGTGGTAAATAAACACATGAAAAGATGCTCGATGTTTAGTCATGAGGAAAACGCACATCAAAACTACACTCTGGGAGGCCGAGGCGGGCGGATTGCTCGAGGTCAGGAGTTCGAAACCAGCCTGAGCAAGAGTGAGACCCCGTCTCTACTATAAATAGAAACAAATTAATTGGCCAACTAGTATATATAGAAAAACTTAGCTGGGCATGGTGGCACATGCCTGTAGTCCCAGCTACTCAGGAGGCTGAGGTAGTATGATTGCTTGAGCCCAGGAGTTTGAGGTTGCTGTGAGCTAGGCTGACACCACAGCACTTACTCTACCCTGGGCAACAAAGTGAGAATCTGTCTCAAAAAAAAAATAATAATAATAACCTACAGTGAGAGGCCAGGCGTGGTGGCTCACACCTGTAACCCTAGCACTCTGGGAGGCCGAGGCGGGCAGATCACTCAAGGTCAGGAGTTTGAAACCAGCCTGAGCAAAAGTGAGACCTCACCTCTACTAAAAATAGAAAGAAATTAGTTGGCCAAATAAAAATATATAGGAAAATTAGCCAGGCATGGTGGTACATGCCTGTAGTCCCAGCTACTTAGGAGGCTGAGGCAGGAGGATTGTTCAAGCCGAGGTGTTTGAGGTTGCCGTGAGCTAGGCTGATGCTATGGCACTCTAGCCTGAGCAACAGAGTGAAACTCTGTCTAAAAAAAAAACAAAAAAAAGTACAGTGAGATATCACTTCACAGTGGGATGATTAAAAAGTGTGCTGGGGCCGGGCGCGGTGGCTCACGCCTGTAATCCTAGCTCTCTGGGAGGCCGAGGCGGGCGGATTGCTCAAGGTCAGGAGTTCAAAACCAGCCTGAGCAAGACCCAGACCCCACCACAAAAATAAAAAGAAATTAATTGGCCAACTAATATATATATATATATATAAAAAAATCAGCCGGGCATGGTGGCTCATGCCTGTAGTCCCAGCTACTTGGGAGGCTGAGACAGAAGGATCGCTTGAGCCCAGGAGTCTGAGGTTGCTGTGAACTAGGCTGACGCCACGGCACTCACTCTAGCCTAGGCAACAAAGTGAGACTCTGTCTCAAAAAAAAAAAAAAAAAAAAAAAAAAGTGTGCTGGCAAGGATGTGGAGAAATGAGCTTACCCTGCTGGTGGGAATGGAAAATGGACATAGAGCTGCTGTGAGAAACCGTGTGGCAATTTCTCAAAAAGCTAAATTCGAAACATAGAATTACCATATGACCCAGCAATTCCGCTCATGGGCATTTGCCCAAAGAACCAAAAACAGGGACTGATACAGATACTTGTTTGCTAATGTTCACAGCAGTGTTATTCACAACAGCCGCAAGGTGGAAACGACACAAGTGTCCATCCACTGACAGATAAATAAAACACGGTCTGTACATATGGGGGAATCTTATCCACCCATGGACAAAGCTCTGACACAGGCTATAACGTGGGGAGTCTGGAAAACATCGTGCCCAGCGAGAGACACCAGACACAAAAGGGCACATATTAGATGATTCCATTCGTATGAAACGTCCAGAATGGGCAGATGCACACAGACAGAGAGTGGGTTAGTGGTTGCCGGGGGCTGGGGGGCAGGGGTGAATGGGAAGTCAGTGGTTAATCGGTACAGAGTTTCAGTTTAGGAGGATAAAGAAGTTCTGTTAACGGATAGTTGTGTTGGTTGCATAAGATCATAAATGTGCTTAAAGCCACCAAACTGTATACTTAAAAGGCAAATTTCATGTTATATATATTTTAAAATAGAAACATTTTTTAAAAAATTACAGCTCCGGCCGGGCGCGGTGGCTCACGCCTGTAATCCTAGCTCTCTGGGAGGCCGAGGCGGGCGGATTGCTCGAGGTCAGGAGTTCGAAACCAGCCTGAGCAAGAGTGAGACCCCGTCTCTACTATAAATAGAAAGAAATTAATTGGCCAAATAATATATATAGAAAAAATTAGCCGGGCATGGTGGTGCATGCCTGTAGTCCCAGCCACTTGGGAGGCTGAGGCAGAAGGATCGCTTGAGCCCAGGAGTTTGAGGTTGCTGTGAGCTAGGCTGATGCCATGGCACTCATTCTAGCCTGGGCAACAAAGCGAGACTCTGTCTCAAAAAAAAAAAAAAAAAAAAAAAAAAAATTACAGCTCTTCACGTTGGCAGAAAGAGTTACACATGCTCCGACTCCGTACCCAGGAGGAATCAGAGACGTTACCTGCGGCTGAACTAAGACGTGCAACTCAACGGCCACTGTAGCTACCACGTACTGAAGGAATAAGGTCATCTGATCTGTCAGAGAAACCAGGAGACCGTGAAAGCCACAGGCCAGGAGCCACGTCTGCCTTGTTTACCGATGAATCCGCACACCCTGGCGCAGCACCTGGCAGCCGCGAATGCAAGATCCATGCGGAATCAACGGCTGCCGGAACGAATGGTGGTTGTCTTACCCAGGGAGGCCAGGTTCCCGTAGTTCTCCAGCATCACCTCTCTGTACAGCTTCCTCTGAGCAGGGGCCAGGAACTCCCACTCCTCCGGGGAAAAGTCCACGGCCACATCCTCGAAGGTGACTGATTCCTAAAATATCACAGCAGTTCTGCTCCAGATGCGGCCATCCCCACGTTCCCGGGAGGAGAGGTGAGAACGGTGGCACCAGGGAAGTTCAGAAAAGTCAGCGAAGTGCTGACATCAGGTTCCACCAGCTGCCTCGTGGGTACCTGTCCGTGGTTTACAATCAGAGGGCCATAGAGACTCCCGCCCACTGCAAACACAGCGAGGGGGACCCGTGCACGGGTCCAAATGAAATATTTGGCCTATTTCTCATTGGACTGGTTATTCTAACTTCTAGATCTGTGAGTATGTCATTCCTGCTTGAGAATCTCCTACTGCAGGGACTGGGTGCAATGGCTCTTGCCTGTAATCCCAGCACTTTGGTAAGCCCAGGAGGGAGGATCGCTTGAGCCCAGGAATTCAAGACCAGCCTGGACAACATAGCAAGACCCTGACTCTACAAAATAGAAAAGTTAGCAGGTGTGGTGGTGCCTGTAGTCTCAGCTGCTCGGGAGGCTGAGGAAGGAGGATCACTTGAGCCCAAGAGTTAGAGGCTGCAGTAAGCTGTGATTGTGCCACTGCACTCCAGCCTGGGCGACAGAACAAGACCCTGACTCAAAAAAAAAAAAAAAAGTGGGAAAAACATGGGGGCCCTGCCTAACCCTCAATCTCTCTCAGGTGAGACGGAGGGCAGGCAGGCAGGCCCACCCCATCCTGCCCCCTCAATAAAAAGGGTGCTTTTCTGGGCAGCCCTCCCTGCTTTATGGGGGAAGGCGCTAGAGCCCACCTCTCTCCTAGGGCCAGGCGCTCTGCTCCCTGGACCTACCCAACGTCCGTCCCTACACGTGGACGAAGGGCGAGTACTAGAACCAAACACTCGTGGGGACTCCTGTGTTTCCCACATAGCAGGGGCTCCTTCTCTATCAGTGACTGACATTCTGACGAGTTTGTTCCCTCCAGATATCCTGGGCACCTTTCAGGAGAACGAGGATGTCTCACCTGGGACCAGGGGGGCAGGTACCCAGCCGCCATTCTCGCCTCTGGGGAAAGCGGGTCCGGGGCCAGCAGGGCTGCAGCAAGGAGAGAGGTGCTGTGAAGACCAGACCCAGGCCCGTCCCCAAGTCCCAGCATCCTTGGCTAGAGACCCCTGCACCACCTGGGGCGACACCCATATGCACAGGGAGGTAGAATGAAGCCAGGACCGAGGCCAGGGGCCTTAAAGGCTCCATATGATGCACGGAGATTCCGAAGCTCTTGCAAGCAACCAACTTATTGAAATTTACAAAGCATACGAGCTCTACCGCGAAGTGAGCCACCCTGTGAGTTTCCTGTGGCTGCCTTAACAGGGAACCACAGACCCGGTGGCCTCAAACAACAGGAATTTATCCTCTCTCAGTTCCGGAGGCCAGAAGTCGGAGATTGGGATGTTGGCAGGGCCACGTTCCTTCCTGAGCAAGAGGAAATTCTTTCCTATCTCTCTCGGCTTCTGGTGGCATGACTGGTGCCCTTCTACGAGAGAGAGAGACAGACACAGAGGTCACGTAGTAGCAAAGGCAGACATGGAGTGACGCAGCTGCAAGCAGAGGAATGACAGCAACTGCTGGTCACTGCCAGCAGCTGGGAGAGGCAGGGAGGATCCTCCCCTGCAGAATTCAGAGGGAGCACAGCCCTCCTGCCACACCTTGATTCCAGGCTTCTGGCCCCCAGACTTGGGAGAGAGTAAGTTTCTGTTGTTTTAAGCCATTCAGTTTGTGGTAAGCTGTGACAGCAGCTGTGGGACACTCACACAAGGACCAAACGCAAATGGAGACATTGCTCCCTGCTCACCCCTCAGACTTGCCACCGCGGAGCTGCCCCCAGGGGATGCGTTCAAGTGCCTTCGAGGATGCGCAACCTGCTAGGCTCCCCTCGGCCTCCACTCGGGGTAAGGTTCCCTCTTTGCTGGTGGGACCTTAAATTGCAGCTCATGGCAATGGGCACAGGACCTCCGGCCCCTTAGCTCCTGCAGACCAATTCTCTCCCACCCTCCCGTGCTTCACAGGACCCTCCCCCCTCCTGGCTGATCGTCAGACCCCCTCAGTCTCCCAGACCTGGGCACCTGGACCAGGAGCGTCCCTTCCAAGGTCCGATCCCTGAGACTCACGCTCGCTCCACAAGAAAGGCCAGATGAGGACGTCCTTGCAGAGAAAAATGAAATCAAGCCCAGGTAGGGGAGAGGCAGGGAACCTGGTGCTGGGAGACCAGCTGCCTCCTCACTCCTCAGCAAGTGTGCATGGGGACAACCAGAATGGGCCCTTGGTACCTTGTCACTGGGATCATAACACTGAGGCATAAGCCAGGTCTCTCCCCAGGGCACTGTGGACATTGGGACGGGATCATTCTCTGGGGTGGGGCTGTCCTGGACACTGAGCAGTGTCCCTGGCCTCCACCTACTCCATGCCAGGAGCACTCCTTCCCCAGTTGTGACAACAACAAAGGCCCCCAGATGGCTCCCAGAGTCCCTGGGGATGGGTGGGCAGAGCTGCCCTAGGTGAGACCCCTGGGCTAGGGAATTCCACGGACTCCTAAGACACATTTCGTCCCACGGTCCCCTGCCCTGCTGAGGTCCTAGGAGGCTGCACACGTTTAAATCCACACCTGAGTGGGGAGGAAGGGAGGAGAGGAGTGCCTGGAGCTGGTGGTCACCTGGTCTGTACCATCTGCCCCCTGGGAGTTTATTCCGGTGTCTAGTGTGAGACAGATCAAATTCAATTTTTTCCCCCAAATAACTAACGCTGGATTTCCTAACCTCGGTACTTGGAACATTTGGGGCTGATCGTTCTCTGGGGTGGGCTGTCCTGGGCACTACAGGTGCTGAGCAGCGTCCCTGCCTCTACACAGCATGCCAGGAGCAGCCCCAGAGTGACAACCACACATGTTCTCCAGACATCTCCCAGTGTCCCCTAGAGGCAGATCACCCCCACTTGAGAACCCCTACCCCCAAAAGGAGCCCAACTCAATCTATACTCGAAGCCTTCACGATAAAAGATCCTCGCGGGTCTGTCGCCCACTTGGCCACGCGGGCCGGGGGTCGTGCTCAAGCCGGCCGGCCTCGCCCGCGTAGCCTCCGTCCGGACCCGGAGCCCAGGACGGTCCCCGCCGCCCGGCCCGCCCGCCGCTGCCCCAGAGCCCGGCTCGGCCACTCACGGCGCTGCGGGCCCCACGTGGGCGCGGGTGACCGTGGGGGCGCTGTCCCCGCGGCGGAAGCGGCCCGCGCAGGCCGACGGCCTTCCCCGCGCGTCCCGGGACCGCCGCTCCTCTCGGCCGCTCGCGCTCCCAGCGACGGCCCCCGCCGCGCCCGTGTGAACTCCCGCGGTCGCCCGCGGACGCGCGTGGCCGCGGATCAGCACTGCGCCTGCGCACCGCGAGCCCCCGAACTACAAGTCCCAGCAGGCCCCGGGCTCCCGGGACTCCGGGGCAGCGAACTCAGTCACAGCGTCCCCTGCGGCCGGGCGGTGTCTTCGCAAGACCGCGGGCCCCAGCGTCGGCACATACCTGGGGCTTTCTGAGGTCGGCGGAGCCTTAAACCTAAACCCTCAGTTCTGGAGACGGAACCAGCTGCGCAGCCCATTCACCGCCTGGCCGCGACTGCCAGAGGCGTGCAGCGGTGTACCCAGTTACACCGAGAAAACGCGAGTCATGTATTTAGCACGAAGCCTGACACACAAAGGTTTGCCATTAAACATTTATTATGTACTAACAAATTATATAAATATGATGCATTTATACCCATTTTTAGATTGTTTTAAAAATTATTTTTTAGAAGTTTGACATGACCAGAAATAATTATTCTTTATTAATATTAACATATTAATTGACGTTATTAATGATAAATTATTACTAGTATATATTATAATAGATTCATAATATATTCTTAGTAACATAATACATAATTTTATACATAACGCTACATATAAAATTTATATGTAATATAGTCATGTATTATATACCATGATAAATATTATAAAATATATTTATATTAACTATATATTAACATATTCATTGTGGAATATATGAACATGTCATGTATTATGTATATTAGGTATATATCAATATGTTTATATTATATATTAAAATAATACTTTAATAATTGTTAAATAATAAATAAGTTATTTATTGATAAATTATATTTATGTTTTTAGAGACGGGGTCTCACTCTTGTTGCCCAGGCTGGAGTGCAGTGGCGTCATCAAAGCTCACTGTAGCCTCCAACTCCTGGGCTCAAGTGATCCTCCTGCCTCCGGCTGCTGTGTAGCTGGAATCATAGGTGTATGTCACCACATCTGGTGATAAATTATATAAATATATAATAAATTGTATATATTTATTATTATTGGACCAAACCATGATATGTGTTACCTCTCTCCCCCAATACTATTTATTTCTCTTTCTCACTTTCTTTCTCTATATATCATGCTGTCTATGCAGTGGCCCAAACCCTCCACGGCAGATTTTCTATCAAAGAAACAGGATCCGAGGGAAACGCAAGAGACCTACGGTGCTTCCCCCATTACAGTTAAACATTCGCTAATGGTCTCTCCACCCCTGAGATGATGTGCTGTGTGATGTATGATTATAAACATTATGAATGTGACTGTCATACGATTAACAGATGCTCAGGCAGAATGAATGGGATCCTTTCTCCAGCCTTACATCATGCTTGTTGCAAGCCAGATTGGGGATCTAGCCCTGAATGCAAATCAGGTGGGAGGCTCCGGTGTGTGGATGAAACCGTGGACTGTGTGGCCCAAGCACAGATCAGTAATAAACACGTGTTGATCAATGTTCCAACCCAACTTGTTCAACCCATTTTTTTCCGTCCTAGTCTGTGATGTGGCTGATGTGCTGTGTTGCCCAGAGTCCCCGCTCTGTACTGAAGGACCTAATGCCACAGACTGACAGTCCTCAGCTTACTCAAAAATAACAGCAGTATGTTGAGGGGTTTGTAACAAATGTCAAAGTAAAAGCCATGGCAACAATTGCACGAAGATTCATAATATATTCTGGAAGGGTGGAACAGACATATACTATTGAAGGGTTTTTATACTGTGCAAAAAATGGAATAATATCACATAAGGGTAAATTAACGTGTTAGAGATGCACGCTATAAACCTTAAATGACAAAACAAACCCAGTGACAAAACAAAGAGCTCGGTGCACAGCCACAGTGAGCTCAGGCCCCAGGGAGCTGCTCGGGCAGCCACCAGGCCTCCAGCTCATGCTGGAACCTCCACCCCGGTAGGTTCCCTCTACCGTAAGAGCTGAACCCAGGCCTCCCGCTCCCCGCCCACGGCTCGCCCCGCCCTCAAGCTGCCCACGTGTCTGAATTGAACTTGAGTTTCAAGAACTGACCCTTCGTCCCCTGAACCAGGGAAGGCCCTAGATGCTGAGGCCCTGTGGGCTGTTCCTCAAGCGGGTGTTGCTGATCAGGAAGTAGACGTGGGTTCTGATCCTGAGACACCCCATCCGACACAGGGACGGGGACACTGACCCCGCAGGACTGTGAGGACGCAGCAGAGCCTGCTCTGCTGGAAGCCAGACATGCTTGCTGCTGCTAAGAGTCCCACAGCGGCCCAACTGGTGGGGGCCTGGGGCAAGGATGGGATCCCAGGGACAAGAGCCAGAGCCCCCCCCTAGGTGGCCCCAGCGCTGGACAGGTGGCAGGTGACTGTGGGAGAAACTGCAACGAACGAGTTTATAGATAAACATTACAAAGATTGGTACAGGTACCGACTTTTTAATTTTTATTTTTTTCCTTTTTCTTCTCTCGGGAGAATGGTGGAGGTTGGGAGGAGAATGACAGGCTGGACCTGCTGGGAGCCTCATGCCAGGCTGCCCTCTGAGCCCACAGCTGGCCCCCTGGACTGGTCTGGGGCAGAGGGGCTAAGAGGGCCAGGCAGCTCCAAGGGACAGGCGGGCCATGTGCCCAAGGCCGTGACCCCACCCCCCAAGCTCCCAGGGCACAATGGGAAGGAGTGCTCCGGCACATCTTCATCTTGCGCGGGGACGAGGTGGAGGCTGTCTGCGGGCTCGGCGCAGGGGAGGCTGAGGGCGTCCCCAGGCTGGCCACCTCCCTGCACTGAGTGAGGGCTCTGTCCTGTGTCTGTCACAGGAAGCCCTGCTGTGGTTTTTTGTGTTTTGTCTTCTCAGCCCCAGGTATTTTCAGCACAAGTGACAGGACACTCTCTTGGCTGCATGGTGAGCCCACCAGCTCTGCCGAGAGAACACCCACCTTTGCCCCCTGAGTTTAAGAGACAGAAGGGGGTGCAGGAAGCAGAGCTGGGTGCACAGAAGGGTGCTGGGCCGGCCCAGGCTTGGGGAAAAGAGGATGGGACTGACGGCACAGCCCCAGGAATCCTGTCCCCATGGAGGTGATGAGCACAGGTGGCCATCTGGCTGCCTGCTTGAGCTTGGGAAGGGTCGGGTATGAATGTCACCAGTCCCACTGCCCAGCCTCCTCTGCAGAGGACTCGGGGGCGGCTCAGAGCACGGGAGGGGACGTCAGTGTCCACACAGATGGGACAAGGGCCCCCACCGCCATCCTGCTCAGGGACCCAACCAAGCAACTCAACCGAGGCATTTTGGGGGAACTCATCTGAGGATCCAAGAAGTGGATCTGCCCACGCCTGACCAAGGCTTTGCTGTGTTTCTAAGGGCCAGGCGAGGACAGTGCACTGGTGTCTCTGGGCTGAGGCTGGCCTAGTCACCCAGCCAGAGGCCACGGCAGAGGTCCCAGCAGCTGCACTGGTCAGTCGGCAGCCAGCTTGTATCAAGCAAACCCAGAATCTGGCCACGAAGCCAGAGCAGTGGGTTTCCCTGCGCACGCACGGGAGGGAGGCATCCCCAGGGCTCGAGGGCGGCAGCTGTGGGTTCCGCTGCCTGCGCGCTGAGACGGGGCTGCCTCGGCTCCCTGGACTCTCCGGCCTAGTCCTGCTGTGTGCCGGAGCAGAACAGGCATGGGAAAGCATTTTGCAGAATATTCCAGAACGGTGCCAGGTGAGATGTGCTTGGGAAGCGGGACTCTCTTGTGAACATCCCTGCCTGGTCGGACAGAACGGGACCCTCCCAGGGTTCCCGAGCCCCTGGGGCTTCACTCCCTCTGACATAGCCGTCCCCAGGGACCCAAGCACATCTCGATGCAGAGACTGGGGTTGCAGGCTGGTGAAGCCCAAGGGCTGGGCCCTGACAAAGCCCAGGGTTTGACAGAAACGCCACGTTTGAGTCCATGTGCAGTGAACCACAATCCGCCACCGAACACAGACCATGCGGAAGCCACAGCAGGCTGGGAGTCTCTCTCCTGTTTTGTTTTTTTAATGACTGCATTTCAACAAGGAGCGTTTCCCAGGGAGGGGACGTGTTAGTGCAACAAAGACGAGGCCCCGGGCAGATGCCAGGGCCCTCCAGACACCTGGAGCAGGAGACCTGACAGGGCCACCTCAGTGGGGCAAGAGCGGCCCCTCCCGCACACGTGTCCCGCCCAGCACCATGTTGTAGCCCCCCATCCAGGCTGGAGGCTGAGACGACAGGCAGCAGGGCGTGGACAGGACCAGGGCAGTGGGGGACTGGGGCGTCAGCAGGCCTGCGACTCGTCCCCCACCCGCAGCCCCTTGCTTAGGAGGAAGGCGTCCTGCTTGGGGTCTCGGCCCAGGAAGCGCTTCAGCATGGCGCTGGCGTCCTCGGAGCCGCCGGGTCTCAGGATGCAGCTTCTGTAGTCCATGCCGACCTGTGAGGGGACGCAGGGGCTGGGCCGGGAGGGCACTGGGAGGAGGGGCAGAAGGCCAGGGATCTGCAGGGACCCTCCTGCGTGGTCCTCGGAGCAGCCCCTTCCCCAGCGCAGGCCGCCCACATCACATCACGTGGTGGTGCAGATGCCGAGGACCCCAATCTCCCTGCTCCTTCTCTGAACCAGCTCTGGGAAAGCAGTGCCCGGTGGCACATGCAGGCCCCATTCCAGGACGGGCATAGCACAGACGGGACAGGAGGCGGCTGGCACTGGCTGCAAGGAGTCGAGGGACCCAGAACAGTCCTGGCCACAAAGGAGCCCAGGACACCCTCAAGCCTCACTGGTCTCTACACCGACCGCAGGTTCCAAAGCCAGGCGGCCATTGTCCCCAGCCGGCCCCATGCCATCAGGGCCTACTCTGCTCCTCCAGCCCCTCACAGCAGATTTACAGGGCGTGACAGCTGTCCTGTCCTTAGCGGGGCCCCAGGTGCAGCGGTGGCTGCCAGGGGCTGGTACAGGAAGCACACAGCTCCCAGCTGTGCTCC